CATTTCTTCTTCAAGTATCTTAAGCAGTTCATCACTTAATGTGCATTTGTATTCATCCACGGGTGTGATGCTTTTAATCTGATACTAAAACGAACACAGAACAATTAGGAATAGAATTTGATAAGTTCTTAGTTTGGAATAAAAAAAATTTAATGCAACTTCTTGCTTTTAAAAGGTTTGACAGACTCGCACATTAATAAATCTCTTAACAACTCAAAGAATATTATACATATTTATGACATTGAAATAGTAGAAACCTGTTTCCAAAAATATTATGTTTACGTCACGGTTCTGCTCTCATATCGCAAATGATAACGGCAAAAGTCGTATGCATTTCAAAAAGATCAATTTTCCAACGCAGTTAAAATGTGTTGAACTATAAAATGTTATCATTATTTGATAATTATGTTTTGTAATTCCTTTATAATTATAATCAATTGAAGCAAACTAAGCTTGTTTGCATATTCAACATCATTTTTTGTTTAAAGTTTTTCGAATTTATAAAACTTAAATCATAACATGAAATAATGAAGAATATTCAATTGGAACTCATTGCGTGGGGATCTGAATCATTTCTTTTTTGGAAGAAAAAATGCAAATATACTTCTTTTAACCAGAATATCAATTTCCTTTAAGTTGGGTCACTCACTTTACTTAAATCCATTTAAATTTGCTTTATTATCTACTATTAAATTTGCAATAAATATTGTAAAAACAATTTTTCTTTTCTGTTACTGTGATGATCTTTCAAGCTTTCAAAAGAGACTGTCACTCCTCAGAAGTTTCCAAATTTTATAATAAAGAAATTTTAAATTAAACTTTTTTCAGGAAAACATGTTATGAAACTTTATTTTACACCACCAATCAATGATGAAGCTGAAATCTGTTCATATTTAGAATGACGTAAGTTTTATATGGTACCTACTGGAAAAGCATATCCTCAGTTTCTTGAACTCAACATTACGTTCGCTTCAAATAACATTATGTTCAACAATTTTTTTCAACACGAGAATATTCCAGAAAAATGTAATAAGCTTTGTAAAGAAGAAAGAAATAAAATTAAATTAAATTAAATGAAATTAAATAAAATTTTGGAATTATCCGTTATAAGCCATGTTTTCAATGGAACAAATTTAAATCAAAAGATGAATCAAAAGTTTCTGATATAATCCGAAAGATGGAGCTGCCTTAAACCCGTAACAGGCACTGATTGAACTTGTAATGTTTAAATTAAGTTCTTTCAAACTTTGGCTTTTGGAAAACTCTGATGAAATAATTTTTCTGTAATTTCTGTAATTTTCGAGAAAGTCGTTCTATATAAAAAGTTAACTCTTAAAAAGATATTTAGTGAATTTGAATTCAACCGATTAAGTTCAAATTCAAAGTGTTGTGTTAGTGTAAGTTCGAACAACCTTTCGTAATAATTTTTAAAAGGAAATATAAAATTTATTCAAGCAAAATTTCTTAATGTTGGCAAGCGTCAAAGAATATAGTTTTAGCAGCAATAATAATATTAAACGTGTATTTTAATAGTCATAATTTATTAAGAAAACAAAAATATAATAAGAACTGTAGTATTAAATCTAAAAAAGAAGCATTCAAAAAAGAAATGGTTGATTTGAAAATTTCGAAAACAAAAGAGAGAAATTTCATTCTGTAATTAAGAAGTCATGGAGATTGTAGGCGATTTCGAATATAATCCAAAAGAATTAATTGGACATGGAGCATTTGCTGTTGTCTTTAGAGGAAGACACAAAAAGGTAATAAATAAATATTGAAAAAAAGTATGAGTTTTAGAGAGTGAAAAAATTGATTTCCTTTGTCCAGTGTCGTAGTTGAGAAAAAGATTTATTATCAAAGGTACCTACATGTTGATTTATCATCAAACATGCTTTGCTCTATTTTCTATTTAAAGTAACCTAATAAGTATGAAACAAATAATTTCGCCTCGTTTTTTATTTTTATTTATCTACAACGTCCCTGGAATTTTTTGCTTGTGTTCTTATTCATGCTCAGATGTTTGAACACGAGTCTCCATGTATTGCGCGTGAGAAAATACGCAATTTTTTTTGCTCCCCTTTATTTGATTAGATCTGGACGTATTGGAATTTATGAAAATAAACAACAAATGTCTTTTAGATCACTTTAATTATTCTTTCGGTCATTGTCTATTTGTTGCTGAAAATGACGATGTTAAGCTTCTTTTCCTGTGTGAAATTTTCTTTAACATTTCTCATTCCAAGCCACCCGAAAAAAACCCAAACCACCCTCAATTGTTTTTTGTTCTTTCGTAAGACGAAGAGAAAAAATTGTGGGTGAATATTTTTTTTTTCGCGGAAAAACGGAAATAAAATGCAAAATCGTGCTTCTATGTCCTCGAATGTAGCGAATTTAAATACATAATTCGTATAAACATGTCTTTGTATTGATCCATTTCAATTAACGTTCAATTATAGAAACCAAACTTTCCTGTGGCGATAAAAAGTATCACTAAGAAGAGTTTAGCGAAGTCACAGAATCTTCTAGGCAAAGAAATCAAAATACTCAAGGAATTAACCGAATTGCATCATGAAAATGTCGTTGCACTTCTGGACTGCAAGGAATCCCAACACAATGTTTATCTTGTCATGGAATATTGTAACGGCGGTGACCTCGCTGATTACCTGACAGTCAAAGGAACACTAAGTGAAGACACTATTCGATTGTTTCTCATTCAATTAGGTACAGAAATTGCATCAGATAATTTAGTAACCTTGAAAATACTTAAATTTTACTTCTTTGTTTCTTAGCCGGTGCCATGAAAGCGCTGTTTGCCAAGGGCATCGTGCACAGAGATTTGAAGCCTCAAAATATTCTTTTGTCACACAATTGTGGAAAAAGTTTACCATCGCCAGCAAGCATAACACTGAAGATTGCTGATTTCGGCTTCGCAAGATTTCTACAGGATGGAAATATGGCAGCAACTTTATGTGGATCTCCAATGGTGAGATTGAACTCATTAAATATCCACGAGTTGAATGATTCATTCTTTCTTTCTAGTACATGGCACCTGAAGTCATCATGTCACTTCAATATGATGCAAAAGCTGGCAAGTTGACAAGCAATTCAAAGTTTGAGAATGTTTAAGACTTTATCGTTTCCTTCTTGTTTATTACAGATCTCTGGTCTCTCGGAACAATCGTGTTTCAGTGTCTGACAGGAAAAGCACCATTCCAAGCTCACACACCTCAAGAATTGAAAAACTTTTATGAGAAAAATGCAAATTTGGCACCAAAGTAAGTGAAACAAAATTTTTTAAATTTATTGACTTTCTTATGATTTCATTTATTTTGTTAGACTTCCTGTTGGAACCTCACCAGAGCTCCAGGATTTGCTTTTCGGTTTGTTACGTCGTAATGCAAAAGAACGAATTGATTTTGAAGTTTTCTTCAATCATCCGTTCCTTCAGCGTCATCCACCAGCACAGCAACAACAAGCAGCTGGTAAGCAACTGAACTGAATTCAATTTTTTGAATCATTTTTAATCTTTTTGGCTAATTTTTCAGCTGATTTGCCATCACCATTTGCACCATCACAAAAGTCCAATAATTTACAGATAACAGCTCCATCAGCTCCTATTAAAAACATCAACAATGTCAACAATAATAATAACAACAACATAAAACTTGGTAAGTTTCACGTCCGTTTTCTTCTTCTTTATCATTTCATTAGTCAGTAATTATCATTTCTTTGATAAATATTTTGTTTGCTAATCTAATTTTTGAGGGAATAACAAAAACGATCAATGATAAAAGTGACGACTTGGGATTCAGGTCATGATTCTCAGCGATGATTCTCGCTTCACGTCTAGAACATTCTTTTCCGAATTTTTTATTTCGTATTTTCCCCTGAAAAAAAATTAAATTACAAAGAAATCGCAATAGATTGAAAGTTCGTTGACTGTTGTCGTCACATCGTCATTTTTTAAGCTCTTAAATGGCTCATTCAAGATCACTTATCGTTTATGTTTACAAATATATTCCTTGCTTATATAAATATTGGCTGAAATCTTGCCATAAGTATTTATTGTGATTAAGAGAATTGCAATGCAAATTTTGCCTTCTAAACGTGAATGTGAGAGAGAGAAGGACAGACAATGTTGCGGTAGATCAGGGTTGCTTTGTCCATAAAATGTACGCGTGATAACCTACCCGAGAGATAGAAGGAGGAGTAGAGAAAATTCAAAACAAACAGTTAAATTCTGTCATTGCAAATTCCTAGACGAGCAAGACAAAATGTAAACATTATTTTCAATTTATTTACGTTTCTTGTTTTATCTGTGTTTACAAATTGATAAAAGGGATTGAGAAAAGGAAATTCACTTTTGCGTCACTTTTTTGTCTGTAAAGATAGAATGTTTTTTTAATTGTGTTGTTATTGTTGATTGAGAAATGTCTTCGTCACGAAAATGATGTCCATTTCGTGACATTTTCAATGAAACGTCTATAAAATAATATAAAAGCAAGCTTTTCACGAAAAGCGCCCGAGACTTTGAATTGAACTCTCGAGTTTGAATTGCTCGAGAGCCAAATGTTTGTCTTAGTTCCCAGAGCTTTGATATCTAAATTATGGAAATGTAACTAAATTAAATGAATTACACTATTAAAATAAAAGTGCTATCATTTCCAAACACTTCCCATCATTCTCAGCTCCTCCATACACATTCTCATCGTAGTTGCAATTCTTTTCGCGACTTGAACGTTTGTAAATAATTTCTGCGAGTTTTTAATAATTTTTTTATTTGTAAGTGAGTGAAATAAAATTTCTTTCGTCTTCGTATTTTTTGTTATTTCGGAAAAAAGAAGAAAAATTTGTACAGTTTCTTTTCGTATTTTGAGTCGAAACATCTTCTTTCGAGAACGAACTGCTGCTTTTGTACCTATTAAAAATTAAAGCAACACAACAACGTAGATTGGCAAGAAAAGCAATAATCTCTGTGATTGTATCATCGACATAAGAAAGAAAGAAAGACAAAAGCAAGCGAAAAATATTAATAATTATGGGAATACTCTCAGATTTGGAGATGGCAAAATTACTCAAAGGTCTGATTCTTTTTGCAGCCGAACTCGAAGAGCTTGAAACGACAACATACGAAAGTATTGGTGATGGAACAAACAATAACAATAATGAACCAAGCAGTCCTGACAATTCTGATGACTTTGTGTTAGTTCCCAACAACTTACCTGTGGTTGATGCTCAAGCTTACGATAGGAAGTGAGTTAAAAAAAGAACTTAGAAATTAATTAAATATTTATTACGTCGCAATTTTCTTTCTTTTGTTCTTTCCTTATCTTCATATACAGATACAACAAACAACCATCCAATTCTAGTCCACCGCGTCCAAGTACGCTTCCAATATCGGAACCAAAACCAGTTCCATCGTCACGTAAAATTTCTCGACTTCAATCACCACCAAAAGTAATTTTTTTGTCTTTCTCTCATATTTGTGATGCAATATTTACTAGAAATTTCTCCTTCAGAGCTCGGTAAATGCTGCAAGTGGAATTCCACGATCACAGCCAATTAATATGAAACAATCAAATCGACGCAATAGTAATTGCAATTGTGATATCAATTCGATATCACCACCAAGTGTACAATTTAATTTGGGCACTCCACCTTCAAATTCAGCTGGTAATCGTCGAAGATCAACATCGGTAAATGGACCGGAAACGCCGCCAGTGCCACCTTGTACATGGCAAATCAGTCCAACGGCAACAACAAACTTCCATCAATCACCGACATTGAGAAGATCGGGAACTGTTGGAGGATCGCCGTCATTACCGTCTAGTGCCCTCGCTAAATTACCAGCATTGTCAAGTCCTACATTGCTGGCAGAGAACAACAACAATCCATTGGGTGGAACCAGAGCATTCACACTTCCTGACATGGGTGCAGTGGCTGGAGCAAATGGCTTCAGTTTATTACACAACGACTCGAAAAATGCCCTCGATGATCATCCAATCACCTTCTACGCTCCTGAATTGCCAGCTGAAACTCTTTTGGATGTAAGACAAATTTCGATTTTACGTCTATTCATTTATTATTGACAATTGCATTTGCATTTCCATTTTATAGCGTGAACACAATGAAACATTAGCGAAACTCAATTTCGTTCTCGCACTCACCGACTGCATCCTTGAGGTCGCCGACTTACGATGTGCTCCACTTTCAGCTTTAATGTCAGCAAATGAATCACCAACAATTCAAAATCTCACACAACCACATGCACCGGAACATTGCAAAAGAGCTGAACGTTTAATACTTTTGATTCGTGCACTTCAATTGTTATCGAGTGGATTGAATTTGGCATCGCAAAAGTTGCAATCGGGAAGTTTGAAACCATCGAATACTGTGAAGAATGGTGAGAAGCGTTTTAGAATTGAATTCAATTTTTTATTTTCATTGTCATTCTTCTAGTTTTATCAACAATGAACTCAAAATATCGCACAACATTGAGCGAATCAAAAAAGCTTAATGCGAGTGGACTTTTACAAAAAGCAACAGCAAATCACATAACAGCTGATAAACTTCTCTATGATCATGCAATTCAAATGGTAAATGAAAGATTTTCTTCATTCCTTTTTCTATTTTTCACTGAAATTTTCTGTTTTATTCAGTGCCAGACGGCAGCTTTGGACGAACTTTTTGGTAATCCAGAAGAATGCTTCAATCGATATCAATCGGCACAAATCTTACTTCACTCATTGGCACAGAAGTGTACACATCCAAATGACAAAATGCTTTTGAGCAAATGTAAGAATTCATTTACGATTATTTTGGATTATTTAATAATTTTTCTTTCTCCATTTTTCCTTTATTAGATAAAGACGCAGTTGAAAAGCGACTTTACATTCTACAAAAACAAGGTTACATTTATTCAACTGACTCTGAAGAGTAGATCAGCTGATGTAATCATTCAATAAAACAAGAAATTCTTATTAAAATATATATTTAATGACATAAGAAAATTCCTATTTAAGTTTTCATGATAAGACTAAAAATTTTCATTCTCCATGAAAAAAAAGATTTTTTTTTTGTTTTCCAGATTTTGATTTTTGATTTGAAGAAAAAAATTCGTTTCATGTTGCGCAATTTGATTTATTATCTGCGATTGAAATTGAGAGAATTTTTATAAAAAGATTTAAAACACAATTTGTGATAAATCGATGAGAAGCAGTGGAATGTGCTTTGCAACTTAATAAGTTTAGTTAATGAAGCTTTCTTATGTATGTGTAAATAATTTGCATCATAATTTATAAAGATTACTGGGTGAAACATTTATGAATGATGATGAAAATGATGAAGTTCAAAGACAACTAGGAAGCGATGAAGGTGGTAATGAGTGTTGTAGTGTTAAAATTTAAATATTTGCAAACAAGAAAAATTTGCTCTAGAAATATTTGGCTTCATAAAGTTATGAAATAAAAACTCCGATTGGAAGAAAGAAAATATAAAATTTATTTTTATGTGAGTACAAAAAGTGAGTAAATCTGCAGTTTAATTGGTCGGCCGATTGCAAAACTTCTATATGAGTTCTGCGAATGTTGTCTGCAGTTGAAAATAAATCATGAACGAAATACTGAGAAATATGTTTTTCATTATAAAGTAAATTTGTTTTTAAGTTTGATAAGAAAAGTTAATTATACATAATAAGAATAATTAAAGAAGCAACAAAAAGAGAAAAAAGGAAGAAATCCATTTAAGTGTAAATTAGAATATAAATTGCAACCACAACCTAAGTAAATTGTATCTAGCTACTCTCATCGTAAGAATAAAATGAAAACTATTAAAAAAAGAGTTTTTTATTATGATTCCAAATGACAAGCTGTCATGCCACATAGATTTGGTTTCAATAGACGATGGAAGAAAAGAAGAAACCTTGACATTTCATCGCTTCATATTAACCACATGTTGTGCATTCAACTTTCTCCTTCGTCTCCATCTTAATGCTTCATCTTATGCAACCAAACCCAAACTGGTTTCATAAAGTATTTTCTTCTCAGTAGTGACACAAGCAGCTGCATTGATACTCTCGTTGTTGACGAGATTTCTGAAATATCGCTTAATGTCTGGATATTTGTTTTATTGACCTGAAAATACAACCCTTAATAGAATAACATGATGGAGCAATGTAATTTCTCTCATAAAATTAATTACAATCACGCTACCTGACACAAATATCAGGTGGAAAAGCGGGAATAAATGAAAAGCTTTTTTTATTCCCCTTCAACATGCTTCAGTAGACAATTTTAACGTTTACGATTAATCACAAAGAAGAAGAGTTCAGGAATGTTCATTAATTTGATAGCAGAACATAAGAAATATTCACGAAAACAAGAAAGCATTTAACAACCCTGATGATGGAAAGCAGGAAACCTGAGATGAACAAGAATTAAGAATTAAGATCATCTTATGGAAGCGAACAACAGATTAAGCTTTTCTTTCCCTTTTTAATTTCCCTAAAATCTTTCTTTCGCTGTTTCTGCTTTCCCCACTGCGTGCTCATCAATCTCTTGTCTTATTTATAATGTGAAAATTATTCATGGCGTCAATAAAGTAAAATTAAGATGTTCACCTTGAAAAACTCATCATTTTTCTTGTGTCTCAGCATAATTTCCTATTCATTACCAAAAAAAAAAAGAAATGAGATGATGATGATGAAGAGTTGAACTTCAACATAAAAAGTTAATAATTCACAGTTAAATTTCATTCCAAACCCAAACATATGTTAATTTTTCTCAACTTGTGAAACTCGTGGAAATGAAAATTTGAATTTCTAGATTTTTTTTTTGTTTCGTAATTTATTTAATCTTTTTAAATTTCATTCTCCTACTTGTTGAGAAGATTTTTCTTCTCTTTTTTTTTTACATGAAACAATACAAAATTGAAATGGTTGGTTGGTGGAAAAAAGGGCGTTAATTGAATTAAAATCTGTGTAGCGGAAATTTACATAATTTTCACGGGGATAAGGATTCGAGAGGGAATGAAAAGTTTTCTTTTTTTCTAAAAGCGGAAAGAAACAATTATGGGAGAGAAAAGTTTAACATTAAGAGGGAAAAGTTTTTCTTTTATTTCGGTTTATTTCGGTTTTCTTTTTCCGTGATGTCCAATTAAAGAAAAAGCACATTAGTACAAAATGATTTGATTTCATTGATTGTGTTGGTCGATTGATTGAAAAGCTAAATAACATAAAATTAATTAATTTGAGGGATTTTCAGTCATTTAATGTGCTTCATCTTTTGATGTTTTTATAAAGAATATAGAAGAAAGTTTGAATCAAATAGAAGAGAAAAATAATTTAATTGAAGTTAAGTTACATAGATATGCAATTGAAAGCTTGAAAAAAGATCAGCTAAAGATGAAAAAAGCTTGTAATAAGTCAAGTAATTTAGTAGAAACCATCACCAGTTGGATCATTCAGCCATGGATAATTATTAGGGCAACGGATACATGTTTGAAGATTCAAAGTTTCTCCGGGAACTTCCTTCGATGTCAATTTACATGAGTTAGGAACCCAACATGCTGGTGTTGATGATGGATCAATGTTACACTTCTCCTTCCATGGATCGAAGTTCTTGATTTCCGACGCCTGCCGTGGATTTTGAATCCATTGGATGACTTGTGTATTTGTCACAAAGTAAACATCGTTATAATTCTCCAAAACTTCATCAACCCAATAAAGGAAAGCTTCCAAGAATTCGGGATTGTTTTTCAACCAAGCAGCATGATAATAGAGACCCAAAGGAGCACGATTCTGGTTGTAATGACGCTCGAAATTATGGTTCAAGAAAGCGTAAAATTGATCACCTGTTGACATTAAAACAAAAAAAAGTTGAAAATAAATAAAAAGTTTTCGTAAGATTGTAGTTTCTAGTCACGTAAGTAGCAAAAACTTACCTGTCAAGATATTTGAACATGAATCAACCATAGCACAACCTGGCAGATATTCATCATTGCTTGGATCTTCACGACGATCCAACTCGTTCATGACCATTTCCCACACGGCATGACTTCTTGTTGGACACGTTTGAAGATTTCCATGACAGCGATGTGGCATGCGGAAGTACATGGTGTAAGGCCAAAGTGGAGGATTGGAAAGTGGTGCAGTAATTGTGGAATCGTACAAGAAAGCTTGTTCTTCCATCATTGTAAATTGATTATTTCCACCAACACGCAAATATGGAGCACGGAGACCAACAACAGAGTTATCAGTGATGTTTGCATATTTCTCTATGATGATTCTCTGTCCAGCCATTTCCTTTGCCCATGTGTCAACCGTTGCATTCGACCAGAATCTTTCATCGTCATTGTGACTGTTTAACAAGAAAGTTAAAATGATTTTAAATGTTAAACAAATATATAATCGGAAAATGAAATCTTACGTGATTGAATGGACTGCAATTTCATGGCCTTGTCTGTGCACTTCCTGAATGGCTGAGTAATTCGAATATTTATGAGAGACGAAGAACTGTTGAATAGAAAATAATTAATTGCAATTCCATTTGTATATTGCCATAACACCAACCGTAGCTTTAATGTTGCATCCATTTGGATTTCTTCGCTTTCCATTGAAAATTTCCTTGTACAAGTTTATGTTGTTGTTGTTAATGGCATCATCGAAAGTGATGGTAATCATCATTGGAACACTTTTAGCTGGTAAATCTCCAGGAACTGTCGTACCATCTTCAGAACAGAAACAATCTGGGAGAACGCAAACTGCTGGGTCGCATGGTGGGGCTCGGTTTGGATCATTGTCCATGTCTAGGAAAATAAATGTTTAGAATCAAGTTACATACATAAAGCTTGAAATAACGACAACAAATATAAACTTGAATAAACAAATATGCTTGTGGTGTTTCGATGTGGAAATACTCGCTTAACTGAACTTTTTCAACATCGAACATAGGAGTGGGAACTTGGGAAAAATCGATTTACATAAGACTGACATTGCCATCATCAGAAAATCAAAAATATAAACCTTGAATTCAAAATGCAAGGCTAACAACAAACATTAATTTACATAAGCAGATGCATCAAATGATTGATTGAATTTCAATCGTTTCGTTTGACTTACCACAGGAGTTTTCATCAGATCCATCGGGACAATCTCTTTCGCCATTACAGAAGAGCCCACGCTCAATGCAACTACTGTCGCCACAGGCAAGGAAACCATCTTGACAAAGAGGTTCATCTGTCACAAGCAGAGGTTTCACTTTACGTTCTTTGTTTTTTAATTTGCAGTTTTTAACAGCTTCTTTCCAATCGCACGTTTGCTTCTCGATGTCAAAGAAAAGACCAGCGGGACAGCGAATGGCTTGAAGTCCCTTTAATATTAATTAACAAAGACATTTATAGTCTGATGGAAATCGTTTGGAAAATGAAGAAACTTACAGATGTTGTGCATTGAATCACGTCACGACATGAATCGCCCTCGTTTGCGACTAATCGAAACCATTCACCGGCATCTTTATCTTTGCACAATTCTTGTTCGAATGACTCTTCCGTCTTCTTTTCTGATTTATCATCCTGTCGTTTGACACGAATTGCATTTGCTAAGAGTAAAAGAAAAATGAATGAATAAAAATCAATAACAATTCAGACGGTTGAGGCATAAATTTTATGCAATGAAAAAAGTAAAAATCATAAGCGTAAAGAGTGAGGAAAAAAAGGTCAAATTGGAAATTAGGTTTGGCTCTTGTTGTCGAATGTCTTCGATTTCATCATCATCAGCCATTCACTCTTCGTCGTCTCGACTACACTTGAAGATTTCAAAAGCAAACGATAATGCTTCTTGTTGATTTTTTTTTTCTCCTTTTTTTTTGGCTGTTGGTCAAACTAACTTTGAAAGCAAACAAAGAAAAACATTTTTTTTCTTTCAAATTCGTTTCACAACAAGAAAAAGAAGAAGAAGATAAAGTTGAGGTGTAGCTTTGACAATCGATTTGGCTTTCACTTTGATACAGTGTTAAAGATTTATTTCTTCTTCTTCTTCTTCATTCATTCATTCGTTCGTGTTCGAGATTAATGTTAATGTGCGAGAAAAATTGATTTTTTTATTATTAAGTATTTCTTTTCAATAATTGAATGAGCACGGGATAATTAGATAATCAATAAAGATATTTTAGGCAATTAAGTGCACATTTCGACACCTAATTGACTGACTTTAGACGCAGAGTGAAGAAAGGTGAACCGGAAAATGTTATTATCGGTTATAATATCAACCAACTTGACCACTTTGCTTTCATCATAATGACCGTGTTAAGTTACACAATCGTCTCACGTCATTGAACTTTCTCTTGGCTTGAACTGGATCTGTGAAATTTTTCTTTTGTTTTGAAATGTAATGAATTTTATTTATTTGGCCATGGACTTGAAAGATTGCTTTCGTATATGGTTGTAGCTTATCAGAAGCAATACGCTGAAGATTTTTCTCTTAGTAAAATTTCCCAAATTTATATCAGATGGAAACATGTTGGGATTCACATTTCTCAACTAACAACCACAAACTCTGCCGCCCTTATAATCTTGAACATTAAATATATTTTTTCTTTCTTAATGTCAGAATATTTCGCAGATATTTTTAACCCACAAAAAAATGAAAAGCTTTGCAATTCTTTTGTTCGTTTAGAAATTCATATTTATAAGCAAAATGCTATCATGTGGTAAGCGGAACTTTTTTTTAGATTGTTGCAAGTTCTCTATTCAGCATTTCGATATTTTTATTTATTATTGAAATATTGCAGGGAAAAATTGTTTTTTATTATTCTTTTCAGTTAGATAAGCTTGTGAAAATCTAAGCTTTCTGTTTTCATTCTGATTTATATTTCTATCTGTGATAAAATCGATTGAATACGTTTCAATGAAATATTGCCTGACAACCAAGGTGCACAGGAGATAGAAAAAAAAAATCAAATCAAATCAACAGCAAGAACGAAGCTAATTTATGTCTTTTTTTTATCCATTATTCGGTCTCATTTTTCCCTCAAATAATTAACTTATTTTCAATTAATTCGATTTCAAAATTACAACTTTTTCGAAGCGGAATTAACGTTCTCTCGACCGATGGAGAAACTTTTTCCTTCCTTTCAATTAGCCTATATATGAACAAGTCAAACTTGTATGCTTTTTCCAGGATCTCGATCTAAAAATAAAGCTTAATCAGCAAATGTCTTTATTTCCTTTTTTCTGTTTCAATGATTTATCAAACACTTCGATATAGATCAGAAACAACCCAGTTGGAAACATCTAACTCAATTAAAAAGTTCTGCATGGTTCATAAAAGTTTATAGTTTATCTTATCAAGAAATCTTTCTCGTTCTCTTGACACTTGTCGGATGCTAGTTTTCATCAGCATGCATATTCTGGTCTCAAGATTATCATCACAGATTTTTTTATCTTTCATTGGGAAAAGTGGCTGCAAGCATATTGTGACGAAAATTAAAATGTCAAGTGGGAGAGCAGATTAAAATCAAATTTACGAACTGGCGCCAACAATTCGAGTCTGATAAAGTGAAAAGTCATTTAATTAAGATTAATACACTGAACAGCCTCGACGTCGTCATCTTTTGCCTTCCGTCACAAACTTTAGGAAACAGAAGAAATAAGAAACCTTTATGTACGACCTTAACAAGACATGAGCTTAATGTCCAAGTCAGAACGTTAAACGAGCGAAAGGGTAAAAGAAACCGGTCACAAAATGCCGGAAATTAAGAATACCACAAGCTTGACAAAAAGGCAAACAAACGGTGGCCGATTTTTCATTTTGTTCGATTATCAAATCAATTACCGGGATACAAACAACAACGTGACCTTTTTTTTGTTTGATTTTAAAGACGAAGGGAAATATTAATAACATCGACAACAGTTTCTTGTTTCAAAGTGACCATGTTTACCAACTTTAAATGTACTTTAAGGGAATCTGTAATCACAATTGTTGTATAATAAAATTGACTACTGCAAAACACTATTTCAAGATAACTGTTGGCAACAGCAACAGCCGTAGTAACCAAAACCAGTTTCATTTCTTAATTTCGAGTGTTTCTTCGCGTCACAAGCGGGATCGATATAAGTATGCTTGCTATATCAATTCAACATATATTTGCATGATTTAAAGGTTGAAAGCTTTAAAAAACGTAAACTGAGTTGTCTTAAACTTTACTGTTATGAATATCGAATGAACTGTTAACAGGTTTCGTATCATCGTGAATTTGAATTACGATACATTTGTCTTGATAAGAAAATTAACAAAAGATTTCACTTTTTGTCACTTTTCTGATTTTTTCTTCATGATAACGAAGCTAAAGTAAAAATTCCTATTGAAAGTTACATAAGTAAATGATTTGATTGTCTTTTCCATTTTAACCTCGAGATGATAACTTTTGCTTTCATTTTTAACAAGATTTTTTATTCTCTACACGAATGATTGTTTTAGATCAAAGTTTATGGCTTGAATTTTATCAAAACTTCAACTCTTTAAAACTTTCTCTGTGGTGTTGAGCTTCTTATCTTAGCAAAGAATATTTAACATCGATTCATGCACTTCACCTTAAGTTGTTTCTTTTTTTCTCTTATTTCACTTTGACACAAGGTAAGCAACGATGGTTATTATGTAAACGAATGTAGATCGTTGAAATGGTTTCGTTTTTTCCTCATTTCTCTCTCACTTGAACCATTAACTGGCTCCATAAACTATGGCGTCAAGAGTGTAGACATGAAATTGTGTTGAGAAAGGAAAGGACATAACTTTTACTTACTTGTTACTATCACGAGCAATAAAAATCCTAATTGCTTAAGAGCCATCACAATTAAATTTAATTGACTTTTCTTTGTTACACTATGAACTTCACTTCTTTAAACTTTTATGGAAGGATTTGCTTCCTTCAGATCAGTTTATTTATTTCCTGTTTTTATTTCACAATTCTACTTTTTATAAGTGGAAACTTTTTTTTATTTGTAATTCGTCAGGGTTAAAGAAAAAAATATAACAAGAGTGGGAGTGAGAGATCCTTTCAATCACCAACTGTTGCACACTCAAATGCGGCCACTAATATTAAATTTACTCTCGGCAGAGATAGATGTGATCTGCCGCAATCACCACACTTAAACAAATAAAACCGAAAAACTCCAAACGCAAGAGCTTTTATAGGAAAAATACGCTTTCACTAAGCGTGGTGGGATTGAAGTTGGTTGCCGTTGGCTTCACTGGCAACTTGAGCGTTGTCATGTCTTTTGTGTGGCTTGAAATCAGGTAACACGAAAACTGCTTGCAACTTCCCCTTAAATCAAAAATTTACTTAATGTAAGTAACAAAATAAGATCAACAAATCAAATTCTCAAAATCCGTGTCTGCATTTTTCAGATCTTTTCTCGTTTCGTTCTCTTCGGCATGTTTTTATTTAAAACAAATTTAGATATTTATGTAAATGCCATATGTTGCTTTTCTAGTTGTTTACGTTTTTATTTATTTTTCTTTCTCTTTCTGCATATGTAAGTGATATAGATTGATTGTGGGTGGATTAGATATTGTAATTTGAAATGTTTTGCGAATATCGATTTATTAAATGCACAATATTATTTTAAAAATGTGAAAGAAATACTTAAGACCTTTCAGATAAATTAAGTTAAGAAACATTTTCTTGATGTCTTTAATTAAAGTTTTGATTTTAAAATCAAGAATTAAAAATTATGTGACAATTAAGAAAACAAAATAAAAAATCCACAGCTTTATTGTTTTTTCAGTAGATTGCCAAAAGAATTATTTTTAAAGTTTTATCGTTACGAGTGGTGAAGTTGTTGACAATTTAATAACTTAAAAGAGCTTTAAGAGAAAGAAAGCTTTAAGTCTATGAAAATAATATTTATTTCAAGTTTTAAATTTTATATTTAACCAACAGTTTAAAGTTTAACTTATAGTATTGATAAGTATTTTTGTATGTTGCATTTGTGTATCATGTTTTCAGTGTTTTAATGATATCTACTTGTTGCATTTTCATATTTACATAATTTTTTCACGTTGTCAATTGGGGATGATTTATTTTATTTCAAATCACTTTGCAACAAACTTCAATATTTAAGCTCAAAACGAAAAGCTTTTGTACTAATATAAATATTATTTCATCGCCATACAACTAGATCTACTTTGCAAGTTTCATAAAATGTTTAATGTTCAAACAATTGAGAAATAAAAGTCAAACATCTATTCATGAGTGTCTTTGACTTTCAAGTTGTGAGAAATATGAGAGCTTTTCAAATATTATTGTTAATTATAGCTTCTGAAAGCTTTAGTGCTTTTGCTAACGATTATTTGACGCTTTTATTGGACGAAGCTCTAAGTAAAGCTTTTAATGATATTGTTTAGTGATCAGAAAATTTTGATGTTAGGTATCAGTAATTCAAGAAACTTTCATTAATATAATTATTGTGTTTGTTTTCTCAAACTGACAGTAGAAATTATTATTATTCTTGTCCTTATCTAGATAATTTAATTGCAAGTTTAATTAAAAGAGATATTGAGGTTTGTGCTAAAACCAATTATCTAAAGCATTTTCATTCGAATCAATGATTGAAAGATATTTCAAAGATTCTTCATGCCTGCAATTTTAATTCATCTTCATTAAGTTTTGTTCAATAAAATTGAATTTAATTTTGTTTATTTTCAAATTCAGCATCGAAGTAAAATCTTAGAAATTCTTTAAAATTATTCCTTCAAACACATCTTAAGCATCAGTGGAGTCCATTCAGAAGCTCTCAAATATTATAAAAGCTATTAAATTTATTTCTAGAATTTACAACTTCATAAATCCAAGGTAGAAAACCGATAATAAAATTATTTAAATAAGTGAATGAAAATTCTTGGAGGAAAAACGTTGAAGCAATTCTTGAAGGTATAAATGTGACGACTAAATAAATAAAAACAGGTCTTTTCATTTATTCAATGGGTCAAGTTTTTTACGCGTGCACCAAAGAAGACTGTAAAGCTGTAAATATATACGATAACTGAGTAATTCAACGGATTTTTTTTCTTGCAGCTTTTATGTACGCATTTTGACCAGGCTCACAGGAAAGAGAGTGGTAAAGGAGATCGATGTAAATGAAAGTATTCAAAAGAATTGATTAAGTCATTTATGACCTTAAAAGATTTTAAAAATTGTCGCACTTTCAATGAAGGTAAGAGCGATTATATTTCATGAACTTAATGATTAAATAAGCGAAATTGAACCAAAGTGACATGATACATTTTTTGTTTAGTCCCAGGTACACGCTAAAACTTTTTTGGCAGCGTCATTGAATTTTACAATCATATTGGACATTTCCAAATGTCGATAAATGTAATCAAGATCTTGAAGTTCTGTGTTCAAAGTGATCGTGAGTCACGTACTTAAAGTGTTAGTAAAATAAACTTGACGTGACTTTAAGGAACTCTTTTACTTATTTGATATGTTGCCGAAATCGATATTGCAGCTGAAGTTACATATTTAAAGTCTAGTGATTCAGGAATTCAATTTTGGTGAACTAATTAGGCTTGACGACTAAGCAGGGAAGGAAAAAATTGTCTAAAATTGAAAACTTTTTATCCTTAATTTTTGCATGTAATTATTGCTTTAATCCGTTTGGTTTCTAATATATTTCTAGTTTCTAATTATTTAAATTGCAATTCAATATGTGTATTGTACAAAACTTCAGGTAGCGAATTAATCATGAAATCAATTGAAACTGTAACACGAGCAGCTAACTTAGTTAAGTTAACTCTGTAATGAATAGTGTCGTAGATAAATTCAATATTAAGGAACTCATAAATGACATAAGTTATTAAAATAATTGGGATATGTTTGTATGTATATATTGAGGGCACACCTTGCAAAGAATTTATTCTTGACTGTTGCCATTTGACTTATTTTTTGTTACCTACGCATATGAGATACTCAATTATAAACATGTCTACAGTTAGATTGAGAGTTTGATCAGAGTTGAAGTTTAAAATGGAACAAAACATGCTGGCGACTTGTTAGCAGTTTCTACCCAAAGAATATTGTAAAGCTTGAAATTATTGATCATGAGAGATATGGGAAGTTAAAAACATTTTATTTATTTCTTGCTTATGAATTGGTTGAACATATCTATTTACTTAAAATCAGATATAATTTAGCAAATGAATATTGAAATAAATTTACGCTTCCTGTTTAGAATACTTGAGCATTATTTTACTAATGGAACAATTTAATGACTAAATGTTGGAGTTCCCACTTAGCAAGCCATCTGCGCATTTTCGTAGTATTTGTAAGCTTTGACCGAACGATAAATTGTCATCACTATGTGTAAAGTTTATTACCTACCTAGATTAGAAATAATATCGCTACCTGTACCATTTGGAATTTATCAAACTGTTCAAAAATTTACACACAAAAAAAATTCTTTGATGAAATATTATTAAGAAACAATGAATTAAGAAATGAACTTAGTTGTTCTCTTTTTTTTTATCAAAGCTACTTACATGTAAAACGTTACTCAAGGTATTTCTAATTTGTGATCGTAGTTTGCAATTTATTTATCAAGGTTGTTCTATTTTTGCTTTCGTCTCTTGATCATGTTATACTATTGCAAAAACTTATTAAAATGCAAACGGAAAATATTTCTTTTAACATATTAAGCTCTATTCTAATCGAACACTGGACCAGTCTGACTCATGTTGTTAGTAAGGTGAGCATAAGATTTAAGATTGCCAAAATATCTTTTGTTCCTTTTGATATCTAATGCTAGCATTGAATTATGAAAGATTTTCAATAAAATATTGAAAACAGGCGTAAGTTTACAAACTTATTTTGATCTATCACTCATTTTGATCGATTTGCGGTGAAATGGTAATGAATTGGAAATAACAGTAATTTGATGCCTTTCATGATTGATAGGAGTAAAGTAATTGGAAAGTTATCCTTGTTATAATTTAATTCCAGCGAAATTCAATGTTCGTAATAGAACGAGTGGGAAAGTCACTTCCCTAGTTAGGTGCTGGTTCAAATGAATGTAGATGTTGAATACTTTCTTAATCGCTTTTATTTACAGCAAAACATATACAACATCAGATGGTAAAATCACAGAATATTCAATTGTAACAATAAACGAAGAAAAAGACCTAAACAGAAATTACATATTTAAGAATCAAGAATGACATTAATTATTTTTATAATATTTACCACTCTCGGTCTTTAGGTTTACGAATGATTCTGCTTAGAATATTGTGAATGTTTGTGAATGTTTGCAAGATCTAATGGAAAAATGTTTCATTGTATGACAAATTATCTTAGAATTTGAATTAAGTCATACCTAATGGAAATGAGAATTTCCTTACAGAATTAGATCTTATGAATGTAAGTGATTTGATGATGAATGCGATTATAAATGTAATCTAAATGAAAGAAATAATGTTAAGTTTCTGAATTGTCAATGTGATTTGAATGTTTCACCTTTGAATGTCTTTGAGACTAAATGATAATGAAATGTTTCGTTAATTGATTGTACAGGTTGACAAACAGAACTAAATTAGATGAAGAATAATGTTTACGTTAAAGTTATGATAAAAAGTTGAATTAATTCGTTAAATTACCTAACAAAATTAATAAATTTACTGCACTAAGAAATGATTGCATAAAAAATATTTTTTAAGAGAGTGATAAGATGGCGCGTTTTTAGCATTTTAGCATTCTACTACTAAATTAATTTTAAAATGATTGTATGGTTTTTATCCGTTAAATTTGCATAATGATGAAATGATTTTCCGTCAGGAACACACTGCCGGGCAGGAAAGATGACGAATAATAATAGCAAATAAAGATGACGGATATGACGCTCGAAGAAATGAAAACTTCCATCATTTGATATGGTTTTGATTTTAGCTTTGATGACAATTCGATGAATTGATGAGATGTAGAGTTTATCAATTCCCTCAGGCTTCCAATGTTTTGGTGATAAATTTGCATCATTGATGAATGAAATGTAGACAACTTGAAGAACATTTTCGTTTCGAAGCTTGAATGTTCGTTCTTGCAAATTATGTAAATGATCATGCTACCAGTTGAGCCGAAACTTCGGTTGAAGTTGCTGGGTGCGAATCCAAAAATCAAGGCGATTGGCTCGAATATCAAGATAATTGCGATCAAGTTTTGCAACAAGTAATCTTCCAGTGAGAAAATGTATGGGTGTGAGAACATTGAAATCCTTTGAATCATTGGATAAAGGTATCAAAGAACGAAAATTGATGTCTTCAATTTTGAAAAGATGAATGGAAAATTGTTTGAAGTCGAATGATGAATCTTCTAACGTAAATTTTGAATGATGTTTTGCTGATTTAGCTTGGATGTCATAAAATCCTCCTGAGTGAGGTGATGATGAAGATGTAAAATGCCATTTAATGAATTTAATTTCTAAACGCTTGCCAATAGATGATTGTAGTCTGTTGTAGATTTTTCGAAATTCATTATCGGGTTCAAAAGAAAATATGCTAATATGTTGAATGAGTATTTTTGTGAATTTGTATTCGGGAAGAACAAATTGATGTTTTTGTTCATGAGTGAGACCAGGACTTTGTTCTATGCGATCTACTACTTTTATGACTTGTTGTTGTTTATCGAAATGAGGTGACAAAGATTTGATTTTGGAGTTCTTTGGAAATTCAACTTTCGAATCCGAGTAGCCAGAAATGGTAAGAAAATATTTGTACTCACGATCGAAAAGAGTTTCTTGAATGATTTTGATTATGATGAGATGAAAAAGATATGTTGTTTTCATGACAGTGAACGCTTTGCGAGATTCAACTTTGACTTGCGGATCGTCTTTGTTGATTGCAAGTATTGATTCTGACCATGATGATGATGATGATGAATTGAAGAAAGTTGGAGCATTCCACCAAAAAGCACAATGTTCAATTTCTTCAGGCTGAAGCACACGAGATATCACATCTGCTGGATTTTCTTCAGAGCGAATATGTTTCCATGTGTATGAACTGATGAATTGTTGAATAGATGAAACACGAATTCCAGCAAAGGTTGTAAGTTTGGAATGTGTTGTAGTAATCCAATACAAAGTAATTATTGAATCACTCCATGATGTAATGGGATTGTCACAAAAACCATGAATTTTTTGATGTTCTGCATTTGAGATGACAATATGACGTGATGTTTTGATGGTATTGAGAAAAGAAATGCGACCAGCGAAATCTTTCCAAATTTCACACAATTCTTCTGACAGTTCTGGCAGAGATGTATGTGATGTTCCAACAAGAATCCAAGCAAAAAGTGTTTGAGTGAGAATTGGACCTTGAGGCAATCGAAATTGAATGTGTTGTAATGATTCATAAAATACGTCGGATCCAACCAGCATACCAATGAGCAATGGAACGTCGAAGTTGGGATCACCTAATATCTTATCAAATGAAATTGCATGTATGTTGAATGAAATGCTAGGAAGCACATGAGTGATGTTGTGGAGCACAAAACATTGAATCGACATTGGGAAATTCTTGTCGCGAGATTGTATTAACGTTTCCACTCCATGATGAACAAGAACGGTTTCATTTTTAATGTCTGCAACAGTCAATGATTTGTTTACTAATTGCAATTGAAGATTGCGAGCTAAGCGCGATGTGATGAAATGAGCGTCGGATCCTGAATCAAGAAGAACTAGAACAAGATGCCATGATGATTGTGAATCTTTAATAAAGAATATTGCAGTTGATAACAAGACTTTTGTTTGGTTTGCATGAGCAATAATATCTGTCATTGTTTGTTGAATTTCACCAACTTTCAGTTGAGGTGAAGATGAATGAACAAAACGCTCGCATGAACAATCAGCAGTCGATCGAGAATATGATTCTGTCGAAGAATTTTCAGCAAAGTTTGAACTTTCGAAATGCAAATATTTATGATGATGTTTTTCGCATGTTATGCAGGGACGTTCATCTCGTTGATGATTTGTAGAGAGACAGATGATACAACATTTTGCATTATTGGCCAGTTGATATCTCTCCGATGGAGTAGAAGAACTGAACTTCTGCCAAGCAAATATCTTATGTGATGACTGACGAATTGAACAGATCAAAGAATTGCTTCGAGATGCAGAAAAAGTATGATGATTTGTAGAGAGACAGTTGATACAACATTTTGCATTATTGGCAAGTTGATATCCCTCTAATGGAGTAGATGAAATGAACTTCTGACAAGCAAATATCTTATGTGATGACTGACGAATAGGACAGATCAAAGAATTGCTTTCAAATGTCGAAGAAGTTTCTGATGAAAATGTGCGTGATGTGTCATCACTAGAAGATTTTAAATTTTCACGAGATGTATTAGATATTGAATGATGATCAATTACTCTACGTAATTTGGTAGCATTATCTGTATTCATCTTTTTGAAGGTAAATGATGCATCGAAGGAAGCACTTTTTAGCTGATGTGTATTATCAAATCCATTTTTCACTGACTGCCATGTTGGCTCATATGATTCTTCGCTTGACGTGAAGTTTGCGAGCACGTTGGGCATGTTGGATGGAAGTTTAATGGAAGAATGTTGAAACTTCTCAAGATTTGACAATTTCTTGCTATTGTGGACGAGTGATTCAGAGGTGTTGCGATATTCAATCAATTTTGAATATGAATCATCAAAATCAGGGATTGATATCATTGGAATTTCCATTCCTCCTTGATGTGATGGTTGTTGTGATGTTGAAGATGAATTTAATTGAAATCCAGTTTCAATTTCATGCTGCCATGCAGAAACTACTTGAATGTAAGTTGAAGAAAATTTATCGAAGTCTTCTTTGTAAAGGTTAGGATCTTTAACAATGAGTTTAACTTCTCGATGTAAATCTTTGATGTGATTGACGAGTTGAGTAACCATATTAAGACGATATTTTGATTGCACGAAGTTTGCTTCCGTCTGTAGAGTCTCTTTGCGCCAAATGCTGTGCTCCAAGTACTCGTGAATAAGATCAAGAAGAATTCCAAGCTTGTGATCATCATGTATTTCGCTTAAGGTTTCACTTGTCATGATGAATGTGATGAATGATTGATGAATGTGATGAATCAATGATGAAAAGTTGCAGAATATAATGATATCTGGCTATCGAAGGACCAAAATTGTGTTCGTAATAGAACGAGTGGGAAAGTCACTTCCCTAGTTAGGTGCTGGTTCAAATGAATGTAGATGTTGAATACTTTCTTAATCGCTTTTATTTACAGCAAAACATATACAACATCAGATGGTAAAATCACAGAATATTCAATTGTAACAATAAACGAAGAAAAAGACCTAAACAGAAATTACATATTTAAGAATCAAGAATGACATTAATTATTTTTATAATATTTACCACTCTCGGTCTTTAGGTTTACGAATGATTCTGCTTAGAATATTGTGAATGTTTGTGAATGTTTGCAAGATCTAATGGAAAAATGTTTCATTGTATGACAAATTATCTTAGAATTTGAATTAAGTCATACCTAATGGAAATGAGAATTTCCTTACAGAATTAGATCTTATGAATGTAAGTGATTTGATGATGAATGCGATTATAAATGTAATCTAAATGAAAGAAATAATGTTAAGTTTCTGAATTGTCAATGTGATTTGAATGTTTCACCTTTGAATGTCTTTGAGACTAAATGATAATGAAATGTTTCGTTAATTGATTGTACAGGTTGACAAACAGAACTAAATTAGATGAAGAATAATGTTTACGTTAAAGTTATGATAAAAAGTTGAATTAATTCGTTAAATTACCTAACAAAATTAATAAATTTACTGCACTAAGAAATGATTGCATAAAAAATATTTTTTAAGAGAGTGATAAGATGGCGCGTTTTTAGCATTTTAGCATTCTACTACTAAATTAATTTTAAAATGATTGTATGGTTTTTATCCGTTAAATTTGCATAATGANTTCCTTTTGATATCTAATGTTTCTTAATGCTAGCATTGAATTATGAAAGATTTTCAATAAAATATTGAAAACAGGCGTAAGTTTACAAACTTATTTTGATCTATCACTCATTTTGATCGATTTGCGGTGAAATGGTAATGAATTGGAAATAACAGTAATTTAATGCCTTTTATGATTGATAGGAGTAAAGTAATTGGAAAGTTATCCTTGTTATAATTTAATTCCAGCGAAATTCAAAGTAGAAAAAGTGTGGCTAAGATTAAGCAAGTTGTTGCTTATTCAACTTTCGTCCCTCGACCGCAAACTAATCGTGACACATTTTTCCTTTCGTTGGTTATCATTGAAACATTCAAATTAAAATGCAAAAAACGCCAAATTCAGAATCAAATCCTTTCATAGCGGAAACGAACAAAGGAACATGCAGATAAACTTTTAAGTTCATGTTTCTTTCCCTCACGAATCCAATGCCATTTAAATTAAACTCGTTTTACGTAACAATCGCATTCTTGTGATCGTAAGTCTTGGTAAAAGTAATAAAATAAATAAATTCATTTAAATAGTGCAAGTTAAAAAGAAACAGAACAAAGAAGTGTTGAGCTAAATACAAGCCCAAAACCGAACGACTCTTTGCAATAAAAATTGTTTCAACAAGTTTTTGTAAGTATCAATATGACTGTTGATGTGCATAAGAAAGCGATTGCATAAGTCGTCGATGCATGAACTTGCAACTGTGCCTTTTTTATCTTTATGAAGCTCTTTTTCGTTTTGAGGTCTGGCTGTGTGCCCTTACATTTTATAATATTACTTGCCTCTGTGCATTGCATAAATTCAACGATTTTCTCACTCTCATTGATCTTTCCAGGCATGCCTATGATTTATCTACTTGTTTACAGTTTCCATGCTCAAAGAAGTTTTTCAACTTGATATTATTTTATTTTTCTCTTCAGCTCTCAAGATATTATTCCAATTTTCTCATATTTAAGCTGCAAAGTTGAAATAAAGCGAAATAGAAGGAAAAAAAGAGTTTGCTCTTTTGAATTATTTCAATCGAAAGCGAAATGATGTTGAATTAAATACCCCAGACAATGCTTTTCTCCACCAACTTGGTAGTTACAAGAGACGCTTTACTGCTTGGAATGAGAGACTTGAAAAGCCTATATATAAATGTAGACTGAACCACTTTACAAATAGTCTTTCATGATCGTTTCAACGTAAGACGCGTTACTGTTGCTTTTGTTTAATTGTTGGTTGGTTTCTTTTTCTCTTATTGCAATTGTTTTTCTCTATTATTATTTTTATTCATCAATCGTGATATGTTGCAGTGCAAAATTTAGTAATCAAATTAAGCTACCGGATCAGTTTATGAGAAGTGAAACTTTTCCTGTGATGCTTCAAAAATTGAAATGATTTGTTATTAGAAGTGAAAAGATTATTACAAGGAAAAAAAATTAAGGATATATTTGAGACTCAAATCATTCTAAGACTCTTCACAATCTCAAACTTCTTTCCGTTGATTAAATATAATTCATTGGTGAGTGTTATTCATAAGCACACAGTAGAAAATAAACACGAAAATTCAATTAAATATTAAAGTCTCGGAAGGCACGTTGTAAGATTTTAAAGCGGAAAAGTATGAATATGTGATGTAAAATATTTTTGCCTGTCTGTTATATTTGCATTTAATTTTCCAAATGACAAATTCTCTTCCACATTGTCGCTTTTCAAACAGAAGACTTAATTATTTATCACTTCATCTTTTTTATATTTAATTTTGATTTAATGTGCTGATACTAATATAAAACATTTGTTTGAATTTCTTGTCGATATTTGCACATTTAGAAAGAAGAAAATTAAGTCACGAATCGATTATAAAGATTTAATTGCCAATCGGTTAATGCTCCATTGGGAATCTTTCACAAGTTGCTATCAAACATCATAAATCAAAGAGTGAAAGATTAACTTTTCAATGGTGAAATGGATTAACAGATATGTAACTAAAAAAGCAAATGAAGCACTTTTTCTTTAAGGATTTGCATATGCAGACATTTCTGTTTCTTATGTAATTATTTACATTTGAAATCTCCTCTCACATCGTACCATTCGAGCAATCAACTGATCTAAATGTCTAATTCCATAAACATTATTTGAAGTCGAAGATTTTAATTTCAATCACTGAATGATTCTTTCTGCACATGGCAACGAAGCATAAACTGAAGCGGAGTGGGAACAATAAAGAAATCAACATTTTCATGTTTTAGTTATCTATTTAGTTCCGCCAAACGATAAAATAATTTAAAATCTGTCAAAGACACGAATTTTTTCTAAAATAAATTTAAATGACAATAAGTATGTGTGGAAAATTAATGACAATCTCGGTGTTATATTTACAATTAAACGTTTATGAGTGTTGAATTCACATGACGAAAGTGAAATTTTTCGCCATAAGTAAGTAATTATTGTTTCATTGAAGCATACGCTGTACCATTACCGTCTTTTATATTCGCGACAATTGAATATTTTACTCCATGTGAATTATATTTTTCTCATTTTGTAATAAGAAGACATAAGAGTGAAGCAAGTGCAAACAGAATTGGAACAATTGAAAAGGCATATCAGATGCATCATGCATGTGTGTACTTGCAATGCAACAATTTTGATGTTAAGTAGTTTTTCCCGTTCTCGTGTACGCTTCATAAAAAATTACTTTTCTTTCTCCAATCATTGCATCACATCGATAAAAAAGCGAATACAAAACAACTTAGCATTCAACGTCTCGACTCTCACCAAGTTATCGAATAAATATTTCTTTCTTTTTTTTTCAAGCCGCTTGTGTTCAACTATGTACATCGATTTTTTATTCACTTGTCTCTATCTACCAACATATTATCTCTATCGTTATGTCAAAAATCAATACAATGCTTCAGAAAATTATCTCATTCTCCTTTCTTGTCTTGTTATGTACACGGATCCTTGAGGCTTCAGAAAAAGACATTTACCTGCTTTTCTTTGTATATTTAATGCACATTCGATTTCCTAAAGTTAAGAATACTCCTTTATCAATAGAGAATAAACTTCAACATAACGATATAAACCAATTTTCTATGAGAATGAATATGTCGATAATACATCTAGATTCTTGATATTTTACAAGGGCATGGAAATGCTTTCATACATGTTCCATAAAATAAATTCCTTCGTGTGACAATATGGAACAATCCTTTACGTCATACCGAAGATATTTATGCTTCCACAACCCCATACGACAAGCCATCGCATAAACTTTATAGAGAAATATTTCTCGATAGATAAAATTTTCCATTTTTTTTCTTCAGCTCTTCGGAAGAAAAATTATGTTAAATTGTCAGGTATTAAATGTTAGCAATTCTTGGAATTAAAAAAAGGGTGAAAAGAATTTATTTCTCTTTTATTATAGTGCAAACGTGTCGGTCTTAACATGACCATCTAAAACAAATTTGTGTTTCTTACTGTTGTAATTTAAATTAAACTTTTTCATGTTTCACATTCCCAACAGAAAGAAGAAAGAAGAGTTCATGGAACATCGTAAAATAAGCTCTCTAAATTGTAACATTCTAATTATCTAGCTAATGAAAGCTTACAGTAAAAACATATAGCAATGTTTTTCTAGTAAACAATCATTTTTTGGTACGTTAAACTGACTTAATGTTTCAGCGATTATTTTAGAAAATTTAATGGTCTGATTAGAGACACTAATAGAATAACATTTATACGGTGGATAACCGCGGTATATTAAATCAGTTGTAGATTATTATGTTGTAAGTATCAATTTTCTAATTGTTCAACAAATATTTTTATATCTCACTCTGATGAACTCCAAAACAAACGACGAAAGTATTTTCATCGGCTTGTTAAACACACAAGAATGCATATCGCAACCAACCGTACTTCCGGTTTTGCATCCCATTTCTTACAACTTCATTTGCGAATACTCAACATGTTAATCAAATAAATAAAATGTTCGAATTTTTTCTTCTTTTTCTCATCCCACGCAGCGTTTCGTAAATAAATAAGCAGAAGTTGAAATTGAAAAGTAAAACCATGTACGTGGAATGGTTTAGGTATTTGAAGGGAAAACGTAACATTAAATAATTTTAACATACATTCGTGAGATGAGCTTAAAACAATAAATTATGAATTAATTAAAAAGAGGTGAGATGAGAGTCGAGTCGAGTCGGCATCTACAATGTTTAGATTACATTTAAATTTTGAATATTCTGACAAAACAACATACGAAGGCAAACGCAAAGCTAAGTTTATGTCTTTCGCATGTTACATATAAATTGTTTTTGTTTTTATTTTTAATGGCGAGGTATAAATGCTCAAAGCCACAAGCTTCGCACAACTCTGCAAGATCATGAAAATTAATTAAAAATACATTTAATGAGTTTTTCATCTGCTTGAAAGACGGAAAAATTTGCGGAAAAGCGAAGGCAGATGTAATTAAACATCTTTTTGTTAGCCTCCTTAAAACACATTAAGGCGATTTTTTCCTTCCCTTTTCTCTCAGCATTCGTTTTTCCTCAATGCTTTCATTCCTAGAAGCACAATTATAAGTTTAGGATTTTCATTGACTACTAATTGCTAATTGACTCCGTAGTTGAAGAGCTCGAATTCCCTCTCAACCCTTTTCAAGACTAAATATGAAAGCGAGTAGACAATAAAAAGTTAAATATGAAGTTTTTCTTTTTTATTAGGGGAGTAAATCCGTTTCAACGCTTTGATATTGCTGAATGAACATAAAAAAAATTTCGACGATAAAATTTACTGTGTGGAATGTTTTCCGCTATTGTTTGGCACTTTTCCATCAAGTAAAACAAAAACTCAAGCTGTTTACCACAAATATCTACTTCAAAATTTTATTGAATTACAAAAATGCTTTCGATACAGTTTTTGAAATTTTTTGCCTTGACCTTACACAATTTTAGATATCTTTTTGCTTCTACTCGTAATAGAGTTAGGTGAATAAGAACTCAATTTTGAGGGATCAGTTTTTGAGGGTTTGATAAGCAAAGCATTGAAATTGAGTCATAAATACTTGAAATTATTCATTTATTATTCATATGATTAAGGCCGAGGTGGCACAGGGCAAAGATATTGAAAGTGATCGAATTTCGTAACAGAAATTGTGTAGGGGACAAAATGTTAAGTCAACATTCGTGACTGAAAACCAATTCACGAATAACGAGTAGTTTGAAACAAAAAGATTGAACCGATTTTGATTTGCATCATTTTCCTTGAGGCGCGACTGCGACCTTTTGGAATTCTTTAGAGCAAAGATCATCGTCGTTTTCTATGCAGTAAAATATTTGATCTTCAATCTGACTAAGTTTTATAATTAACCTCATATTTAATACGAGAATAAACACCAATAAAGATGTGTAAACATTCAATGCTTCCGATTAAACCGCTGCGAAAATTTCTCTTGCACTTGCTGAGTAACTCTGCTGACACTGAAACTTGTAGACGTGCAGTGTTAACCAATTGGTTATTGAAAGCTGCTTCAAATCAAAAAGCAAAAGTGTTTTGTTACAGCTGTTTTGTGTGAAAAAGCTTTGATATTCATCGATTAAATCAATTGCATGCTAAAACGACCCTGAAATTGAAATTTTTTGACGTTTTCGTGGTTAACTAAGTTAGTAATATTTTACAATAATTAACAGTTCGTGTAATAGTTGAAAACGGAAATCTACTTATGGTTTAATCAATCGCGTCGATTTTATTAAACTCTTAGTTCACATTAAAGGGAAAAAAGCGCACCGATCAAAAACGAAATTTTGGACTTTTCATCGCTCGAGTGGCCTTTGAGTGTTAAGCAATTTTATTTTTTTAATTTTTGCACCTACAAGGCTCCCATTCATTAGATATTTATACAAATTAAACTCTGTAAATATGAAACTTTAAAATTATAGCGTGAACTGGTTGGCATTTTTTATTCAATGATTACTGAAACATAATGAAAAGCAGACTAAGATCAACTCCAACATATTCCAACTTTCATTTCCAATTTAGGTAATTTAATAACAAAAGACAAAAAAAAAATCAAATTGTTGAGAATTTTATATAACTTTTGAATTGAAATGACTCAACATTAGCAATAAAACTATAATAACAACGAATTCCCTCGATAAAGAATTAAATTCATTTTTAACTAGAAAAATTTTAAAAAGAGATTGAAACTTCACATAATTTAATTCTGAAACAAACTTTAGAATTATTATGCACACGAGCTGATACTTGAAAGTTCTTGGGATTTTTTTTTAATAATTTTCCCTTTTGGGATGCCAACAACATTCGGAAATTATCATGAAATTGCAACTTGAATAAGCAAATAAATTTAAATGCATTGAAATGCTTCAGCTTGAACTGAACATGGAAAAGTTCCAAAAATAAGTAAAATTCTAGGAAAACATTACTTCAGGTTGCCAAGATGCATTTATTGATATTCTCTTTGACTCTTAACAGGAAAAAGAGAAAATAATGAATGAAAGCTTTCACCTTGTTCTTTTGATAGTCTGCCAAATTTTATTTATGAAAACATTAAATAATTGTCGGCACTGACCACCAGTATCTCGTTAAACAAAAATAAAAAAACCTCCCCATACCTTCAGTCTCATAAGTCATAACATAAATTCCACAGCTTCATTAAAACTTCCATAATTTCTGATATTTACGTGAGATATAAAAAGTTGAGCGTAAGCAAAAATATCTGTATGAATATAAGATTCGAGATATTAGATAATCAAAACTTCACGTTGAATATGATGTTATATTCATTTATTCAGCATTTAAAATTAAAATTCTACACGAGCAGGTTTTTTTGAAATGAAAGTGCATTTTGGCAGGCAGCTGCTTAATTTCCATATAAACCGAAAAGACTTTGACCTTCATCAATCTCTTTAGTCATGAACAGTTTTGACTTTGATGAAGTTCGTAGTTTCACATTGAAATCGTTTTGGTGACCCCACATGAGTTCAAAATGATTTGTACGAATTTTATTTTCTTCATCAACTTTTTGTAATTTCAAAGAAGCATGTTTTTGCAAAACCAAATTAAATTAAAACTTCTCAAGCTCAATTATAAAAGCTAACTTAAGTAGGAAAGTTTCAAAACAAACTCCTTGATTACTTGAACGAAGTTGAACTTTGCAAGATAAAAAATTCAAATATTTGCAGTATCTGAGAGCAAAAATGTTTACATTGTAAATGCATATTCTTTAAAGAAGTAAATAACAAAAGATTCCGAAGTTTTTGTAGATAATTATGAAACGCAAATTGGTCATCAACCTTAATGTTGATTATCAAAGGTTTTCAGGCACACCTTAAGCAGTTCAAACTTACATAAAATTTTTAATAAAAGAGATTCAGCGTTAAAATTGAACGACTGTATGGCATGTTTGTCACGCATTCGGTTTCAGAATAAAAGCATAAACGATGATTAATAACTGCTTCCATAATTCCGCTCTTTTAAATTGCAGGGTATCATCAATTACAGACATTCTCATTATTTCCGACATTGCGTGGGTGGAAAGCTCGCATTCAGACAGTCATTAATTTGATTTTTTTCCTTACACCTCTCCAATTTTCCGACGTGTTAGAAAAGCTTTTTGCTTTTGATTGATTCGATTCAAGTCTTTTTCACATACGTGAATGGCGAGGAATATTCCCAAGAAATAACAAAGAAAAAACCTTTTCGCACCTTTCAATCTAAAGCCATAAACTTGTATGATTATATTCCCCGAACAACTGATGATTGAAAAGAAAATGAAAATCATTGATTTTTGTATTAATTAAAGGCCTGCGGAGCTTAGAAATAAAAAGTTTTTCAAAGAAACAGCTTTTGGTTTAAAAGGCTTGATGGTTTATATCACGATCAACCGATTGAAAATGTTCTTTGAGTGCCGTTCTTTTAAGCTCTAAGTAGGGTTGTCAATAAAATACTGTTTGAAAGGTTTAATTTAGATATGCCATAATAAATATTTAATAAAGATTTCGTTTTACTGCCCTACGTGGAATCGAATTCCTACGAATAGAATAAGGAAAAATAATTTGCGAGAATCGACTGATTACAAACGATTTCAAATCCACCATGGTGTGCTCAACAAATTAACTCAATTCACGTATTCCAAATGGCACTGAATAATAATGACCATCTGGGAGAGTGAAGAGAAAGTCAATATTGACTCTGGAAATGATTTTGTTCATGTACGTTCGTTAAAACGTATGAGATATTTCAATTTGGTGTTGAGTTGCATAAGCTAAGGCACAAGCCATGTTCATGCCAAAAAGTTGACAGACATATCATGAGTTCATTACAGAACAAGCGTGGCTTTTCCTCATTTTAAAAAGTGCATTTAAAACCATTAACTTTTATCCATTTAATCACAAATTACGAACACTCTGCTTTTGTTTCCTTAAAATGCTTTGACAAAATCTTGACCACACTTCTACATTAATCCATTGTAATACATAATTGCATAACTTTTAACAAATTGTTTTGGTTACGAAAATCATTTATGATCATTAATATCCAAGAATAATATAATAGATCTCGATTCTGACCTTTGGTCTCTTTAATCTTTGTGTGGCTTAAAAATTTATGAGATTAACAATGTCTGTTGACGTATCAGATTTCAACGTCACTTCTCTTGACATTGAGTGAACTAAAACTGAATTAAATTTTAATATTTCAAAATCATGCTTCACACTCGAGTCATCTCATTAAAAATATAATTCAATATTACCAATTAGTTTAGGGTCGTAGAGAGCCTTCATTGAAATGACTTTTTAGCAATAGAAACATTGGAAAATATTTGACATCATGCATGAAAAATCCATGAACTGAAACAAACTTTAGACACCGACAGGCAGCAGACAAAATGTTTACAATTTTGATAATTATCCAGGCAGATATAGAACTACTGTCTAAAGAATAACAAATTTACTATGCTTTTTGAATCACTTGCGGCTCTCAATCAAATATCAATTTATGCTAAACTTATTAAATCAATTTTATTATATGTTTCGTTTATTTCAAGTTTTATAAATGTTTGCACTCTTTGAAAGACTAACTCAAATAATTGAATATGCTAATTTGATCGAGAGCAAGCGATAAAGTTTTTATTGGATTTAATAATCAATACCGTAATATATGATTCATGAGTAATTATGTTGCAACTTGCAACCACTTCAAATGCTGTTTCTTTTTCTGTTATGGCTAATGGTTTTTATATTCATTTAGCCCTTTGTTACATGATAAGAAACTTTATGAAAAATGATATTTTAATCCAGGCTTCTATCCCTCTGTTAGCTTTTGTCTTTTTTTATCATTCTTGTTATGAGCTTATTACTAAGCCACTGAATCGTCGAGCTTAAAAACCAATATTACGAAATTAATGATTTTTGTATTATGTTGCACAGCATAATTCAAACACAGCATAAAGCACAACATGACATATAACTTTGCATTAATGTACATAGGAAAAAAAATATGTTTGAGCTTGAAAATAAGAAAAGAATTTGAATGAAAAATGATTCGTATTATGTGTTTTTGCTCAACACAACATAAGAAGATAAATTCGAGAATTATGAAGAAAAATGATAAAAATAAAACAAATGTGGCTCTGACAATTAAGCACAACATAAAAGTGTGGTCTTGATAGTCAACTACCACTTGTGAACAGACCACCATTTATGGTTTTGTTTTTCAATGGAATGCTTCAAGCATTCATAACTTGTAAAAGTTGTTCATTTAATAGCGTAATGCTTCGGTGAAGTTCAAGGGAATGTGTTACTAATTTTGACGTGTATTTTGACAAGACTTTTCTTGCATGCAGAAAAATTATGAATATTTAGCATGTTCGCACCATCAACTAATTGAACTCACTCAACACTAACGATCAATGCTCAACCATTAGTAGCATTCACGTGGACCGCGTTAAATAAAAGCTGGAATATCTTTATGTCTATGAAGTCTTATTTTGAAAATCATTCATCTGCATGTTTGGTTTGAATATAAATTTGAAAATGATTATACAACAATAATATATGAAAAGAAGAATTCATCATTGCGTTTTGATTCAGTAAATCTACTTTACTTTCCATTTGAATATCCTTTTTATCTCTTTCGGATTGATTTATGGAACAATTGACTAAGCATATTGATTTTCTTACAAGAAACTTCGTAACTTCAGAATTTCTTTTTAAACACAAACATTCCTTCAATCGATCCTTACGATTGCGTTTCCATTCGACAAAAAAAAAATAACTCCTTCAACATGGATTTGTGGGTGTGCACTCAAGTAAAACTTAAACAAAGATCTTTAAAATTAAAATGAAGAAATAAATTGAGAATCAAGAAAAATGTGAAAGAAAGAAAGGTTGATAAAATTGAATTAAAATCAAAAGCCAATTATTATTGCTTTGAAATGAACCTTTCAATTCAATTAAGAAATAATCTCTGTTTGATAAAAAAGTACTGAAGCAAGAAATGGAAATCAGATGAAAATTTCCTTATATCGTTTTTCCGGCTTTTCCCATGTAATGTTGATAAATTATTTATTTCTGCTATATAATGCTAACGATCTGAATAATGCACTAATTGCATTATATGCTTATTAATGATAAAAACTTGAACAATTAATTATAAAAGTTATTACTTTTATCTCATTAATTTATAAAAAAATTTAAGTTTATGATGTAACTTTAAAGAAAGAGTATAAATTTTTATAAAATTTAACGTTTTCTGCAAAAGGGCTTCCATTCATAACTTAAGATTTTACTGTTTCTCATATCGGCTAAGAATATTGTTTGAATAACTGTAGATCGTATCAAAGTGCAGCTCAAGAAATTAACTTAAAGGCAATGCGAGTCTTTCGGGAAATTTTTGTTATAAATGACCTAACAAATTTTCCTAATTGGTAAATAAATTCAAAAGAATTTAACATATTGTTTGCTTGATGTTTAATTTCACGAGCTATGTTTCGTTCAACATTGAATTCTAACTTAGAAAAGAAATTGATAACTTCAAAGCTTGGTAGTAAAGAAACTATGGATGCGCTTAATAGTTCTCATTAAATAAAAACTGGAGCACTTAGAGTTTTCATTGCTAGAAAATTGACATCAAAAAGTGTAATAAATGAGTGTTGCTTTCAATTTATGATTCCGAAACATTGCATGAACATTCAATTTTATTTATGTTTAATTCATAAAAAAGAAAGAAAAATTTCACTAAAACTAAGTTCAAGCAAATTTTCAGATGAACAATTATTTTTACATTTCATGTCCATTTCCTTAGCAAAGCCGTAGGCTTTTATTCGCTTTTATAATCTTCAGATATGAGTTTTTATAACTTTTTTTTATTAAAGTCGGAAAATCTTGGGAAAATAAAATTCAATAAATAATTCATGAAGTTTTTTTTCTCATCATTATTATGATTAGTAGCGAACAATTCGTTTAAATCAACATAACTATGTGAAAGATCTGTCAAGATTGAAAGCAGTAGTTTAAAAAACTATTAAAACAGCATAAATTTCAATAATTTCATAAGATGAACAATGACAGCGGCATTGACAACAAGAAAGAAGTTTTACACTAAACAAATTCATGACTTCTTCTGATTTGATTTTCTATTCATGCTCATTCATGTCCGAAACCTTCAAAATAACGCTCGGTTCAAACCATTACTGTTATGTTTTGATTCAAAATATAAATTATGTATCTTATGGCATAATAGGTGTGAACAATAATTTATTCATTAAAGTTGACAAACATAAATCACATTGAAATGCATAGAAGCTTCGTATATATACGTAGCTACTTATTTTATATACATGGTTAATTAATTATGAAAGAATTTTGCTCCACAAATGAGGCACTTTATGTTGGAGTACTCATACTTATGTGAAATTGAATGAAGACATGAAAAGGGGAAAAAAGGCTATGATGATCGTGTTCCGGTGAAGAAAAATGTAATTACGTGCATAATTGATGTGAAGCATTTCTCTTGACTTCGCCTGCAACTACTTTGGCCTTAACGATTACAAACTAACGTAATTGGATGAAAAATTCGCACTGTCAACGTCGCTTTACAAATTATTCATGATTCTTTATAGTTCACTCGAATTACTCACTTAGTTTCAGATTTCTTTCACTTCTTAAAGCACTGCAGTGCAATCAATCTTTCAGTTTGAAACTCATTCAGCATTGAATGGTCAATTTGCGTATTTCTTGTTTTTAAAAATGCATTTTCAATGTCAACTGTGTTGGTAGTTGCAGTTCATTTAATATCATGAATCGTATTTATTTTACTTTGTGTAAAACTTTTCCATCAATCATGAAAGCATGAGTTAATACTTTTACTACCTTACTTCCACAAGCTACATAAAGATTGATAATGCAGAACTATGATAAAATATCATAAACCTAGAACTAATCTAGTGTACAACATACTACATATGCGGAATGAAATATTTACACAAAGATATTTTTAGTAAATGTGGGACAAAAATAAAGCTAGATTTATATTTATCAAAGCTTTTATGGTTTGGGACCATACACATGAAGGAGGAAAAGAAACATAAATCATAAAAGTATTTACTTTCATACATGTACAAGTTGCAAGTAGTGCTTAAAATAGAATTTCTTACTGCTGCTTCTTACTCAGTTTAGTTGTTCGTTCAACTGAGCTGGCCTATTGTCTAGGTCAATGCTTCTCTTAAGCTGCTTTTATTTATCTTTTTCCCCACACTCCTTTGTTCTTCTTGTTAAGATAGCAATGCTGACAGCTGTGACGTCTTTTGATGTCAAGATGGATTTCAATAAGACAAATGAAAGATGTTATGACATGTAACGTTGAATCTTTTTATTTTCTCATCGCTTCTTGTCCTCGTAACAAATTTATCATGAAGAATTTCAATATGAATGCGTTGTTGCCATCATCTGGTTTAATATATAATCTCTTCATCACTAACGGATAGTAATAACTGAAAAGTAATATAAAGTTCATGACTATTTAAATTTAATCTCATTCACATGTCAGGAGTTTTATAAAAAAAAATGGCGACACAACTTCTCATCATATTCTATTTTTTATGCAGTCATCTCCGTATCCAGTTGAAGCCATAAAAGTGGCTTATCAGTTCCATAAACACAATTTTTTAAGATTATTTTCTTTATTTCTTCTACATTTTTGCTTTTGAATTGCTGATTTTTCATGGCTTCAATTTAGAACTCCTCACCGGGTGTTCATATCTGAACAGTTGTGACTTGAAAGCTATAAATTGTTCGACATTCTAAATCATGAGGGAATAAAATGTTCTTTTTTTGCATCTAACTTCCACTCTTCTACCTTTGCCATTTATTATGTCAGAAAATGAGAAACGGATGAGCAAAGAAATTGAAAAAATAATCATGTGGATGTGGACGAGAAATAAGCTATTGAAGGGGATTTTACTCAAAGCAATGAGAGTTGTTTCGTTTTTCCTGTGAAGCTCTTGAGACTTAACTCGGAACAGCGAAAGCAGTAATAATTTTTCGATGAGTATATCCCGGAGTGTTACCAGAGAAAATAAGAGTTGAATCGCAAAAAGCAATTTTCCACAAAATGAATCATAATTTTCTATTCAACCACCTGCATGACCACATGGAGACTCTCCCACATGACTATTATGTATTATCGTAAATATAAACGAAAACAAAATCTGATCAAAACGAGATAAATTAAATTTAAGCTTCTTCACAGTATGCTATGAACTTGGATGATCTCGGGATTATTAACAATTTTCTGTTTTATTAAAATAAATAATTTCATAAAGCTTTGTAAGTTTTAAACAAAGTTCATTAGTGCCAATTCCAACAAACCTTTTTCTGTGTTCTTGTACTTTTGCATTGGAGTGAATGAATTATAAAAAAGTTCAGAATAAAAAAAGGAAGAAGGAAAGGTCGACCTTTCTATTTCTTGATTTATGCAATGTCTTGAAGTTTCTTCTGCATTTTGATAAGATTATTTAAAAGAAAGGTTTTCGAAAGAACAATCAAGATTGAACTTAAAAATAGGTTTCGAGCAACGGTAAATATCTTGCGATTAAAGATATGTCTTGAGAAATGTTTCCTTGTTAGTATTTCAGGATCACTGTGAAAAAAAGGAACAAGAAGAATAAAATTAATCTCTGAAGGGATTTGGAGCTTAACGTCAAGTTTCTGCAAGCTTACATCTCATTGTGATATTTGGGATTACGAGTATTCTATATTTTAGGCAAAACAGATAAAATTAGAAATTCTTCTTCTTATTAACTTCATCTTCATGAGAAAATTATTTAATAAGATATCTTAAAACTTTAATCAAAAGCATAAAAATGAGTTCAAGTTGTATTATTTAATTTCGTGTTATCTTGTTTTGCGTTATCAAATCAAACCATTTTTTCAGTTATTGTAGTTTTCTTTTGTAATGCAAAATAAATTCCAACACGATAGATAATCATCTACATTTGACGACAATGTCGACAATACTCAAGACATTTAGATTATTTTCACTTCTTTTTATTCCATTATTGTTGCCATTAATCTGATATCGCTTACAATTTTTATTAAAAAAATCGTGTCCTTAATTAACGACCAAATGAAAGCGGCGTGAGTTTAAGTCGCTATTAATGTATTTACTTTGTAAATGCCGTACCGTAATATCGATCAAAAGCCACATTAATGCGAAATAAATTGATGAGGGCTGCCAATTATTAATTCCTTTGTGCCATAAGAAGTTTATTTTTAGAAGCGATAGATAACGATAATTTAAAAAGAGATTCATAATTTGAGCAATCAAGAAGAAACGTGGGAAGAATTATGAAAGAAAGAAATGGAAAAAGTTTTGGAATAAAACCCTTCAAGGAAAAGATTTCTTCACTCTCTTGAATAATGGAACTTTTCTGAAAAATGATAGGAAAAAACTCTGACAAGAATCTTGATTTCGTGGAGTGAAAAATCTTTGCCAATATTATTTTCAAGTGATTTAATAAACTCTTACCTTGAAATTGCATTTTTCTATTGGGAAATAAGTATAATGCTGCTTAGCAAGCTTGCACTCCTCAAGAGTTTTCATTTTGTCACGCAAGAAAATTCCTTAAATTGCATTCTCAAGGGGAAAAGAAATAAGTCGTTTAACATTTAACTTCATAAATTTTCTTCCATCCACGTAAACCGCAATAAATGAAGACGTTTTATTTGAAAAACTTTCACGAATTCAATCCTCAAGTGGTTGGAATTCCTTCTCATAAAAGTCATCAAAGTTATGTCGTATCTTCAAATATCTTTTTTTCCTTGAATTCACATCCAGTTATCTTCCTGCTGATTCACTTTACCGATGTTCAAAAGGTTAGGAATCATAAGTATGCAAAAATATATGAAATTATTCACGAAATTCTCTGGTGAATCTTCAATTTCCTTCTAAGAACAAGCTCAACCAAAATGCAGAATAAAAATACATTAAAATTGTAACGAGATTCAATAATTGGAATGAACGAAAGCTCAATCTTAATATTTTTCACACGACTTTTATTTATCGTCTTCTTTTATACTTAAACTGTTAAGGGTGAAAATTGTATCATAAAGAAGAATAAAATTTATTGGAAAAGCAACAAAATATGTATGTGAATATATTTGTGTGTATCATCCTTTCTTTGCTTTGCTTTTTGTACTTTAAACGGCAACGGTTGCGGCAATCGATAAGTCCTTAGGCGTTCAAGGAATAAGAAAACCGTATCCACACGATACAGCAAATTGCAGGAAGTAAACACTTTTCTTACGACGTGGGTGGGAGAATGAAGAATGGTTTATTGTTTCTCTTTTTTACTTTTCAAGTGGAAAGGAAACATCTAGAAATTTGCATACTTACTAGAAAATTATTCAACGTGTTGCTGTTTCTTACATTTCTTTGTGTAAAGAAAATTATTTTTCCATAATAAAATGAAAAGCGTTCAAACATTTCAGATTACACAAATATTAAAATAAATCATGAAGAATGTTTGAGTTGGAACGAGTTTCGTAAACTCTTTCATGTCATCATTTGACTTTATAAAAATCAGATTGTTTCTTCATTTTTTTACAATTTTTTGAAATGAAACGTTTTTGTCACATTCTTCAAGTTTAGAATTTGAAGAAGCTTGTTGAAGATATTTTTTCAAGATTCAATAAAAAATGATGAGTTGAAGTTTAGAATGTGCAACATCTTGCATGTACTTTGCTGATTAAATTGAATCCTTTTTGAATAATCTTAAAGCGAACGTTATCCATTACTGTAAGTGATATTAAAGAAATAAAAAAGAAAATTTAAGTATCGTAATTTTAAACGATGCTACGATCTTACTCCTTCTTTTATATTCACGTTTTATTTTAATTGCTTTTACTTACTAATCGGTTCGATGGTGTAGTGAAGAAAGCAATTAAAGTTATTCGTGCAAATATAAATTGTTCAACAAAAGGACGAACGGAATCTAAACTAGAATGTAAATTTGAAACTGTATTTACTGAAATGCAAACGAATTTTCCTTTAATTTGAGTAGATATTTGTTGTTGAACTTAAAATTTTATAGATACTTGGAATGTTTAATTTATGCAAATAAATAAAGCTAGCTGACTGGCTTGAAATGGCTTGAAATGGTGCATGTAGATTTAAAGTTTACTTGAGTTTAAATACAAGGCAGTAGAACTGAAACATGTAAACATTAGCATTGCCCAAACACTTTTATCGTAAACATAGAAACCACACTTTAACGCTCAAGTTTTGTTGAATCAAAATTGTTTGATCAGAAGAGTGTAAATGGTAAAAGTTAACATTGGTTCTCCATATACAAGATATCAAAGTTGATTCTTAATTGAGTTTTAGAAATCTCGCATCATACCGCACAATGGTAACAAGTTAATCATTAATTCTCATGCTCTGGTTATCGTTTTGCTTCTCTACGTTCATTCAAGCTTTATTTATTTTCTCATTCTTACTCTCTTTCATCCTTAAAAGGTTGGCTGCTTCAACAACAACAACAACAAAATATGATATCAAAACAGCTCGTTAAGATAACAATATTAATTTCGTTCATCATCAACGTATCGTGCGTGGGAGAACCTCCAGTGGAAACAATCAAACAATGGAATTTAATATCCTTCGATTTCCCTTACGAGTGGCCAGTACACGACAAAGATTTATTCAATCCGGAACAGATTGTTGTAACAGGCTTAGAAATCGGTAAGAATCGGGTTTTCCTTGCTTTGCCAAGACTTTTCTCTGGCGTTCCCGCAACAATTGCGTCAGTTAGCAGAGATACAATAGGAGATTCTCCTGTGTTAAATGTAAGTATGACATTAAATGAAAACGTGCTTTCTGATTATAATAAAGGAGAAAATATTTCATTTCAGGCATATCCAGATTGGACTCACCATTCAGCTGGTGTCAAGCAATATAATTGCAGTGATCTGGGTCTAATATCTGTCTATCGATTGAAAATTGACTCGTGTAATCGCTTGTGGGCACTCGATGCCGGCGTTTCAAGATCTCTTGAAGACTTCGAAGTTACGTGCCCACCCAAAATTCTTATTTATGATCTGAATACAGATCAGGTTGTGAGAAGGTTTGTGATATTTGCACTTGATTTGATTTGATTGAGTTTCGCTTCGATGAAATAGTGAATGGGAAAAACAGTCAAAATCAAATATTTATATCGCATTATAAGCGAATCCTTTTTGTGTTCATTCTCATCGTTTTTTCCATCATTCATTCATTCATTCATTCGATTTGGAACTGCTGCTGTGTGGAAACCACTCTCCGAATCAACATTCTGGAAATAACAGAATTGATTTCCCCAAAGAAGTCGTCCGAAAAGAATCCCTCTTCACAAACATCATTGTCGATGAGACAACATCACTCCCTGAGAATCATTGTGACGATGCTGTTGTTTACATCACCGACACTGTCGAACCAGGTAATTTCTCAATTTATAATCTCAAAGCTTTTTTATTTTACTTGTTCAATGAATTACATAATTTATGTATTGAAAAAAGGGGATTAAAGTTTTTTTTTTTTGGGTAAAGCTAAGCTAATGACTCATCAAAACGTAAATAAAAAGGACTCTGTTGATGGCTTAATGAATGCCTTTCATGTTTGGCGGTCGCGTTGAAAGATGTTTGGCTGAAGCTGACACGACTCTTTTCATGTTTCTTCATTAAGTCACTGGTTGACGTAGATCGGTCTTCATAGGAAGATTTCCATTTGTTTGTCTGTGAATAAAAGATTTAAATAACAAAGCTCATAGACATGGGTCGTTAAATAATTGGGAAATTGGCTGAATAAGTTTGTAAGCATAATGTGGTGAATTTGGATAAATTATTAGGCAATGATTTGATCAACAAGCTTTCTTGACGATTCTAAGATCCATTCGAAACTTCAAATAATCGTAAAAGAGATTCGAGTGTAGCTCGCATTGTCAATGTCAAGGGAGAAAACATTTTCCATCCAATTTCACTTTTATGGGACAATTTTCTATACCGTAAAACCGTCAAGTGCTTAAGGGAAGGAAATTTGAATGTCAGCTACGAGCGATTGGTTAACTTACCGAGTCGTTAACAAAAATAGGCTCAATTGAGAGATTTGGAAAACCTAAAACGAACTGTTGCGCTTTTCTTTTTTGGTATTCTTCGATTGCCGCATTCATCATAAATTTCGTTACTTCTTCAATTTCATTGATGCTTCAAATATAAATTAGAGAAGTCAGTACCTCATTAACTCGATTTAATTAAATTGGAAAATAAAACAAGACAAAACGATAAGGAAAGAAACTTTTCGTTCATAAAATTACTTGATTGCTGTACTGCTAATGGTTGAAGGGAACATCGGTGGGTGTATTGCCGGCAGTTTATTGATTGTGTAGATTCTCATTGTTGAAACAAACTTGCTATCTTCCTGAGTGATTGTGTACCATTCGTTATTGAAGCGAAACGGAATGGTCGACGAGGAAACTGCTCGTGAAATAGAAAATTGAATAAGATGATGAGATGAGAATTTTCCTTCACGTGCAGAAGATTTATTGAGTCTACGTATTAAACATTAACATTAGAATGGAAGAAATGTAAGAGAAGTTTTTATCGTGGCATAAGAAAATTAAGGTCGCAGTTGTGAAGCAACCACACAGCCATTGCCAATTGCGATGTTTGCCTTGCCCTTATACATAAGTTGAGTGTTCAGATACTTGAAGAAAATGAAAATTCAGAAAAAGCAAACAGTTACACCAATTTGTTTCCCAACAACTTCAGGAGATTTCTTAAAAGTTCTTGAAATCATCAATTGAGATGGTTCATCAAGATCTACAAGTGCGTCTTTATGTAAACTCTCTCTAAAAGTACGAAACTTTTTTTCTTCCAAAAATCCCTTAAGATGAAACATTAAAGCTTTTCCGAAGTTCTTTTCGCTAAATCTCACAAAACTTTTCTCTTTCATTTTCTTCTTTTTTCTTAACTTACCCCTCATGCTAAGGAAATTCGTCTTCATTGGTAAATTTATCCAATAGCGAATAGGAAATAAGTTTTCCATTGTTTTCTTTCTCTTAACTTGTTGTATCAACTTTTTCTTACACAAATTTGGAAATCACAAAAGATTTTAGCCGAAACATAAAATTTTTTTTGAGCAATAAATTTTGTCAAAATTTTCTTCTTTAATATCAAAAGCTAACTGCAATGAAATGATGATTTGCGGCGATATTTGATTTTTTTTTCTCCTCATCTATGACTTTATTTGCAAACATTAATCGTTGTCAATTTTCCAGCTCTTGTGGTGTACGATTCGGGACGTGACTTGACTTGGAGATTAAGGTAAGTTGAATACATTTTTCAGCTTTATCAAGGGTATAGTGCTGAATCTTCCTATTTAATCGATGAGAAGACATTGAATGATGCTAATTCTTTCTGACCAATGTTCATTTTTCCTTCATGCCTTTTGTTACAGCCATCCATCGATGTATGCCGATCCTGCCTTTTCAGAATCACGAATCGGGTGAGTGACGATGAATGTTGTCAAGGTTGATTTATTTTAAGCTTAAAGGAATAAAATGGAAAACCTAATTCAATTACATTCCCTTTCTGTCTTTTCATACCAGAAATGATCGTTTTAATCTTTCCGATGGAGTTGTTGGTTTAGCCTTTGATGAAGAATCAAGAACGGTTTATTTCCAACCTCTGGCAACTGACAGGTAAATATGTTACCTATTTTTGAACAGATGATAAAGAGAAACTTTGACCAGATTGTTATGAAATAAAAACTGGGACATTAATGAATGTCAATTCTATTTTAACTTATGTTTCCATTAGAAGAAATTTGTCACTGTGCCACATTAATAAAAATTTGTCCCAGAATTTTGATAACTTTCAACTACTCTTCAAATAGAACGACTTCATTCTTATACATAACAAAATGTGCCAAAGGAATATCTCAATGTACAAAGAATAAAAGACCGTAATAAATCAAACGACGCCATTTGCAGGCTCTTTTCCGTCTCAACTGCTGCCCTACGTGCTGGACCGTTACCTGTTGGAAAAGAATTGCCTGTAAAATTAGTTGGGAAAAAATCTTCACAAGGCATCGGATTGGGAGCAAGTCCATATGGTGGAAATATTTTCTTCGCTCCCCTCACTGAAACAGCGATTGCACAATTCAATCCAAAGACGAATGAACAGAAGTGAGTAAAAAGGGAAAAGAAAAAAACCAAAAGAACGCTTAATTTTGATCCAAAACCTTTTTAAATCTTTGAACAAAATGTTGGAAAGAAATTTCGCGTGATTTAATTTTCTTGAACAATGAAAAGACGTTTCACGTTTGATTCACTTGACTAATTTTTGAGCAATAAATTCTTAATTCTTTACTCATGAAAGATTTTCAATCGATTTTCTTTCCTTTATCTTCCTTCTTAGGGTCCTGGCGTATGATTACGAAACGCTACAATTCATTGCCGATTTTAAAACAACCAAAAATGATCCAAGTGCGCTTTATTTCGTATCGTCACGTTTCCACCGATTCTTTTTGAAAAGTATTAATCCCTACGAAATTAATACGAGAATTCTACGAATTAATAACGTTGTGCAGTCAAGCCCATCAATTCCATTTGCACCAGTGCTTCCGTCATACCAGCAAAATGGATTAAATCAGTACTCACTTCCTGATATTGCAACAGCGCCTGCTCACACTTTTGCTTACCAAGCAGCTGCACCTTCACTTTCTCCAATATATCCACACCATCAGCAATATCCAACTTCAGCATTTTCATCAAACTACGTCTCCAAAAATGGATTTTCTAATTATAATTTCGCACAACATTATCCAACAAAAAACATCTACCCGACATCACCCGTTTACGGCCCTCCAACTAACACTTTTCCATTCGTTCACAGCTCCACAAGGCCTGTTTATAAATTTCAGGAACCACAGCCATACAATTACGAGCAATTTAGTGTGATAGACAGAAGGAATAGTTATCCGTTTCAAAAGCTAAACGCTGGTGAAACTCTACCACAACCCAACAATCTGGTGAACCTGAATTTTGGTTACAGTGGCAATGCTTATAAATATAATCGGTTTGCTCGTAATCTCTTGCAAAATACGACTTCTTATCATTGATAGTAGTTAGAGAAAAATCAAGTTTTAGACTCTTATATGACGTCAAATCTGCATATGTACATAAATGATTGATCCATTTCCTTCCATGCACTAAAACCCTTCCAATTATTTCATTTTTCCTCTTTACACTTTGAGAGATTTCTTTCTTCTTTAACACTTTCATTTCATTCACTTAAGTTGTGCATCAATGTGCTAAAGTTTCATCGTTGGTGTACACTGAAAGATGTTTGAAGTACTTCTGAGAATGTCATCATTGTTTCCTTTCTTTTATCTTCTTAACTTTTATGTGCTTTTCTCGCAAAATCAAGTTGACTTTGAGGTTGCAATCTGCTACTACTTTCTCATTCTTTCTAACTACTGACTTAAGAATATCTTAAATAATCCAGCATTGTTCCACATCTTGTATAGTTTTTCATATTCATCTCTCTGATGCTTTCATTCTAATATTTACATTGCTAATGCACATTTTCATATCACCAGATGCAAGTTTTTCCAACAGGAGATGATAAGAAAGATAAAACATAACTTAACATAAATTACACAGTTTTGCATCTCCCTTGAGTGTTCAACTTAAAAAAAACTTTTTTCTCAGCTGATGAGACTGGAATTGCTGCAGCAAACCAGACAATGACAAACAAAATGCAGGAGAAAACCAGAAACTGTAAAAAAAAATTCATTGTTAGCCATAACTTTTTGCATTTTGAGAATGTAAATTTGAAATGATTTTATATTTATTTTATTATCAAGATTAAATTTTTCTTTCCTTATGAGATTATTTGCTTTAGCTGAAGTATTTCTTTTTATCATTATTTCAATTCTTGAGATTCTTTTGAACGTTGTTTGCTTTGACATTACAATGATTTATGTGAATATTTGTAGAAACTTTTTCAGAGCAATAAAAATAATTTAACTTACTTGAATAAAATAAAATATTGGAGTTTTGGAATTGAGAAATTGTTTTTGATTTATCAAAAAGGAACGGACAATGCCGATGAACTTTTGAAAGTTTTTAAAAAATCCTGTAAGATGTTAAATCGAACTTTTTCATTGCAAATACTTTTTGTCGAGAATGTTTATTGAATTGAATCAATATTTAAAATAATGAATGTTAAAAATTATATTTTTTTAGAATATCAAGATTCTGAATCATCAACCTTTGAATGCAACATCAAACCTCGTTCTCTTTCTTTCAAACCGGATAACACAGCAAAGACATTAAAATTTATCACGACATCGACGAACAAAATTTATGTTAAAAAAATATTTGCGACATTTATTCATTTTATTTGATGTTCTAACTATTCCCGATATCGTAACAAGTGCAATAAACAGAAAATATTTATCGTTCATGTTGTGAAAGCGCAAACAGTTCCAAATATGAGAACTTCATGCATATTATTTACATACTTATCGGAAAGAAAACAATCTTGACAAGTAATTTGTCCCCATTCATTCACTTTAAAAAAAACTTAAATTCAAATACATTCTTGGGATATTCGTGATGTTGTGTAGAATTTCTATCAGTCGCAATTTTAACACCGGCCGGTGCGAACTTAAAGTTGTTTTTCTCTGATTTTTTTCTTCGCTAATTTAGTTCATTTGTTCTTTTTGGTGGAATCAAATTGAAATAAAATACCAGCCGCTACAAAATTTCAGTTCACAATGTGAATAAATTAATTTTAATTATATTTTGATATTCAGAGGGAATTCACATAAAGTACTTGTTAATTCGTTTGGCGTGTAACAAATGGCTAAAAGTTTAAGAATTCTAAGGCTCTTTCTTTAATTAAAATATAATATGAAGTTTTATGGCTCCAATTGAAATGATAATTAAGCACTTTTGTCTTCTTTTGGTTAGATAATTCAAGAAAATCTTTCTTAATTAATTATGTTTCAATCGACAATGCCACTGTATTTGCGCAATTTATGTAAATATTAATTAATTCGTCACGTTCAAGCCTGAAGTCGTAAATTTCATTACAAAAAGCTTTGAAACTTGATATTTTGATTCTCGTTATTCTACTTTAGAAAAAGTTAAAATTTCATATCAAAATCCATATAATTACCGAAATGCAAATGTTTGAATATTTACGCAGTAAATTGTGAGAAGTAAAAACTTCTCAAAGACTTTTTGTGGGAAATTTATTTAAAAGATAAGTGAAAAGGTGATAAATGATTACAGCGATTAATGCTTTAAATTATTATGTTAATCTAATGTGGTTTGATATTGATAACGAGATCAAAGCGATAAAATTAAATTATTATATTTCAAGAAATTGTTTTATGGTTTGTGTGGGATATTTAAGCAAACAAACTAAAATATTATAAAGTAATTAATAATTTAATGATCTTTCATGTGATGATAATTCAACGGAAATGAAATTAGCAAGAAATTTGCATGATCTTCAACTTAGTTCAAAACAACTTTAAGCCTTAAAGTTTCCCCTCATCCGAAATTTTCAACGACGAATCAACAAATTACATTTTATACAAAATATTCTCATTTTGTTATCAGCTTAAATGCTAATAAATTCCAACACGGAATAAATTTTAAATGAATGGATTAAAAAGCTTTTCTACAACATAACATAAACTTTATGGTGAAAATGCGTAGACATCAAGGCTTGGATCAAAATTGATCGAAACTTTCTCAAAAATAGTGAAACGTTTAATCAACATTCCGAATTGAATTGAGCTTATCAACGAAAAGAAAGTTATGTCTATAAAAAGAATTTCCTTGAGTTTCTATCTTCAGAATTTAAATTTATTTAATTGAATTAAATTTCGTGAAAATGAAAAATTACTTTTTGTTGGAACAAGGAATTGCTACATAATTTAACAATGAAACTTTTACAGTCTAGTTCAACTTGAAAGTTTAAAATTTCATGTTTTATATCAATGACATTAAGAATAGTTAAGTTATAAAACTTTCCACTAGAAAACTTCTCAACAGAAGTTGATTTGATTTTTGTTCAAATTTTATGACTCATGCTATCAAAGTCTAAGTCATCAAACAGTAAAACTTATCAGATTTATGTAGATGGATAGAAGAAGATGAATGAAATTCTTTCAAAAGTTACAGTTATGGGAATATTGTTAACTCAGTTGAAAGATTCTCTTGAAACTATTAAACTTTTTTTCGAGGACATTTCTCTTTGATAAAAAGGAGAAAAATATTTAAACTTTATTTCGATTGTAGAATTTAACGATTAGAAAGCTGGCAAGATGAAGTGTTACTTCCTGCTTGTATTAAGCATCCTATTAAAATCTTCAATTATCTCGTGTCATCAACGCTTAGACTTAGAACGCTTTATCGAATGGAACAAATTGGATTTCCAATTTCCTAGTACGAAATTGAGAAATGAAGCCATAGCACATGGATTATTTGTTGTCGAGAATGCTTTTCCAATTGATGTTGACGTTGATTATCGAGGTACGTATAAATCAACTTCTATTTAGCGACGTTTGCTTTTATTTTTTCGTTACGAGAGTTTATTTTCTTTCTTCTTGCTTATCTTGTTAGGGTCGGTTGACAGATCAAGGATATTCGTGACCATTCCAAGATTTTCTGAGGGAATTCCAGTCACTCTTGGCTACTTAACAGAGAAATCAAAAAATGATTTCATGATTAAACCTTATCCCGACTACTCATGGCATTCATCGCATGGAACTGATTGTGATGGCATCACATCTGTTGTCAGAACAGCGATTGATGACTGTAATCAGTTGTACGTTTTAGACACTGGAATAATTGGCGAAACAAAAAAATGTCCACCCCAGTTGTTGGTCTTCAATCTTGTTGACGACAGTCTCGTCAGACGATACAAGTTTCCTGACTCACAATACACTGAGTCAAGCTTGTTTATCACACCAGTAACTTGTCTATTGCTCTCTATAGTCGTCAACTCAATTTTCTATTCTTTACAGGTTGTTGACGTGAAAGACTCATCACCAAATGGTAAATGTGCAGACGCTAAAGTTTATATAGCTGACGTAACAGGATTTTCCCTGATTGTTTACGACACTCTAACTGACAAATCATGGAAGATTCAAAATAAATTGGTAAATAAACCAATAACAAACTGCATAAATTCACAAACTCAACTTTTTTGCTTCCATTAATTTCAGTTTTATCCGTACCCTGAATTCGGAACGTTCACAATTGCTGGTGAATCATTTGATTTAATGGATGGCATATTTGGTTTAGCACTCTCACCAAAACAATTCTCAAATGATGACAATAACAATGCAATTTACGAGTTCTTAAATAGACCGTATGAACGTTTTCTATATTTTCACAGCTTAGCATCTGGAGTTGAAAGTGTAGTGTCACTCAATTTACTTAACAATCATGAAATTTGGGAACACGATTCTGAGTCTGAACCGAGAGCATTCAAATCAATTGGTACGAGAACGATTCAAACAGCAGGTGATGTCAGATATGAGTTTACTCAATCTTTCACATAAATATTGAATTTCTGTTATTATTTATCATGGTAAGCTCAAGCGATGGATAAAAATGGAAATTTGTATTTTGTCACAATGTATCCGTTGGCATTGGTTTGCTGGGATTCTTTAACAAGATACTCTCCGGAGAATATCAGAATTTTGGTAGAAAATGATCAAACATTACAATTCGCCAGTGGATTGAAAATTGTCGAAAATTTGCGAGGGATGGAAGAGCTTTGGGTGGTCACAAATCGCTTACAGGTATTGAAAAAAGATTTTTGGATACTCGTAAATATTTAAACATTTCCCATATTTAGAAAATTTGGACTGAAACAATAAACTTCAATGAGACGAATTTCCGTATACAACATCGAGGAATTCGAGAGCTTTTGGGTAATAGAAGCAGATGCAATGGTCGACCAATCAGATCAGATTTCATATTTCCAGCATTTGGGTCATTTCAAGGATAATTTTTTACTGTTTTTTTTTTCTTTTGAGTTTTTGGTTGTTTGGAACAATAAAGGTATTCAATTAAAAATATAGTTTCATGCTTTAATGTTTCACGCTAAGCTTATAACACAATAAACATTCAAGCTACAAAAAAAAATAAGTTTTATATGAACAAAACAAGCAAGCAAGCTTTCATTGAACAATGGAGGGACCACAAGACGTCGTTCTTATTTGAAAACAACGTAAACACGCTAGCTACACATAATAACGTTTTAACACTCAATTAACATCGTCTACGAGTATGTGAGCACTTAGAAGACGATGATTTGACACGAACGATTTGATTTCATGATTCTGGTTAGTAATCCACAAGTCCGCACAACACAAATACACAAAAAAGAATGACAAAGTTATGAAATATTCAAAAACGAGTCTTCCAGTTCATTATTCACCTTCAAGCTGATCACTCGTGGTTTGCTGTCTCATCGGTAGTTTTGTTTAGACATAACAGACAAGGCGACGTGAGACATGAAAGTAAGTCGAAGAAAATTCTCCGACGATAAAGTTCCTAATTGAATTAAACACTTTTGTTGATCTCACTGAGTCGTGACTTTTGCTTTGGATTTCTTCGTAAATTAAGTTATTTTCGCGTTGTTGTTCATTTACAAGAAATAACAAAAGGGATTATACTTTTCATATTATATACATTTCATTAAAAAAGAAATTCTCCCCTCTAACGTTCTATCAATTTTTAATTCAATTTCTTCAAAACGAAAGTTGTACGAAAATTAATTAAATGAATTTTCAGCATGCTGTCTTAAAAATATTCTGTGAGCTTCTAAATAAGTAATTCTAAGGCTTATCCATGCTTTGTTTTCCCAATAGATTAATGAATGGATTAAAGTATTTTGTTGCTTTTTGGACTTGGATCTTTATTTAGTATAACAAGAAGAAAATACGTATTTTAATTTGTGATATCTACGTACAACAATTCAGATACAGCAATAAAGAATTAAAATATGAATTAAGAATCTTTTGAATATTATTTAAACCTGTTTCGCAAAATATTCTTCTTCTAATGAGAAATTCGCATATTGAGACAAAAGCAAACGATAGAGAACGGGAATACCAAATCGAATAACAAATAAATCATACATTAAGCTGATGTGTTCCTCAGCTGATGTCTTAAACACACAGATGAACAAAGAATCTTTTCTAGTAAATTTAAATAAACAAAACATAAGTCAAGGTCATGAGTCATGTAAATGTAAAAAGCGACATAAATCCATCTTCGGATTTATTCCCAAAATCGAGGTCGTAGAAAAGAAATTGATATTGATGCTCTCAGGTTAATAAATTCAACCTCATGTGAATAACCATTTGTGAACACCCTAAATTAGCGAATAATCTTGACACGAAAAAGCAATAAGCGTTTGACTTGACTTAAACATAATCTATTGATAGCTGACTACTAATGTTCTTCAATTATAATTTATGAACGACGGAAGCTCTTTTAGGTCACAAATATCACTTAACACTTGAACACTCACACGTGATATCAGACTAAAGCGGAGCTCGTTTGTGCGCAAAAACAAAAGCCGGTATCGATTCAATGTCAAGGTGTTAAGTGAGTTATGACATAAATAGCAAGCCTTCTGGGTTTAGATTCTTGAGAAACATTAAATTACATTATTTATGTGTTTTGGGAGCGCAGCCGAGAAAAATAATTCTTGCGTGCATGTTGAGAATCGAGGGATCACGAATAAATCTAGTCGTTTATCGATATGTGCTTTACAGAGTTGTGCTAACATGAATCCAATTTGGATAGCTTTACTACTTGTGGGGATTTTTTCATCATCCGAAACTTCACAAGGTCTTAAACTAATCAATGAATGGAAAAGCATTGATTTCAATTTCCCAACGCTTCAACTACGGCAAAGTGCAATAACTAGGAGAGAATTCATACCAGGACAAGCAGTTCCAATTGATGTGGATGTTCATTATCAAGGTTCAAGTAAACTTTCCTTATAACTTATTTAAAATGAGATGTAAAATTCATTTCAGTTCAAGGGGCGTACTCGAAAGTCTTTATCACATTTCCACGCTTCAGAGAAGGAATTCCAATGACCCTTGGAACAAGATCTACGTTCAAAAGTGGAGACGGTTCCAATGTAATTGACCCTTATCCTGACTATAACTGGCATGTGAATCCAACACAAGACTGCAATAATAGAATGATTTCAGTTTTTCGTATTGCTGTTAGTTCAATTGCTTCTTTTCTATTTCAATGAAAGATAATCACATAAATATAAAATGTTTTTTCTCTAATTTAGATCGACAAATGCAATCGGTTATGGGTTGTAGACACGGGAAAAATTGGATTAGCTACTTCACCTTATGTGTGTCCACCAAAAATTCTTGTCTTTAATCTTATCAACAATCAATTGCTTCATCGATACATCATTCCCCAAAATCAATACAGCGATTATTCATTCTTCGTCACACCGGTAAGTAAATAAACGTCAATAAATTGAGTTTTTCTGATTGAAAATATTTCTCAATTTCCCTTGTCCCAATTCTTTTTTTTATTTTTATTTTGTCGTCATCATTGACGATGAAACCGATTTTTATTTCATTTCCTATTGTAGATAGTCCACGTCGGAGATTCTCCCCCAGGAGCTTGTTTGAACAGTAAAGCGTATATTGCCGATGTTGCTGCTTATGGCTTACTAGTTTACGATTCGCAAACTGATAGCTCATGGCGAGTTCAGAACAGTAAGTTTAAATTGAAAATATCGAACTTGTTCTTGACACTTTTATTTAGTTCATCATTTAAGTCAGCAATGAAGTTTCAAGTTCATTTGTGTTCACTAACAAGTTCGACCAAAACATTTTTTACCAACCAACATCGAGAATAAAGCGAAGATTTTTCTCCCCTTTTCATTTGATTAGAATTTATGTATCCGTATCCAACATGGGGTACACACACGATATCAGGTGAATCGTTCGAACTAATGGATGGAATTATTGGTATGGATGTGGACAAGCAGAGACAAATCTCACAACGTTCGTTATATTTCCATGCTCTTGCTTCGGAACATGAGAATATTGTCCCCTTAAGTGTGTTGGACAATCGAACTGCATGGGAGAATGATCCATATGCACTTCCAAATTCTTTTAAAATACTCGGACCAAAAGGTTCACCTTCTGCTGCTTCAGCAACTGATTCAAATGGAAATTTATTTTTTGGTCTCAATAGTATGAACGCAATAGCATGTTGGAATACAAAAGGAAAATTATCTCGAAATACAATTAAAACTCTTATAAGAGACGATGACAGATTGCAATTTGCAAGTGGAATGAAAGTCATTGAAAATACAGACGGAGAGGAAGAATTGTGGATCGTAACAAACCGATTCCAGGTGAATTTCTAATGTCATCCGAATATTAAAGAAAAGAAAGAAAAAAACAAATGAGAAAAGTTCAAAAATTTTCTTCATCACTCAAGATGTCTCAAGAAAACTCATTTCCTTCTTGTATCTTGATTTTGTCAGTTTTAAAAGTGAAATTTCCAATTAAACTTTTTATTATTTTTCTCAGCTGTATTTATTTTTCTTCTTTTCTTCGTTTTTTGATAACAATAACATTTTTCTTTTATTTTCGGTTTGTAATTGAAGAAAGTATTTTTAAATACAATGAACAACAATGAGGTAAACTTCCGCATACAAGCCCAAAGGATTGGAGAACTACTCAGGGGAGGACGATGTGCTTAAGCATTCTCATGACTAATCATAATGAATGTTTGTACATTTCACAACATCTCTGGTGGATGAAGATAATTTTTCATGAGTGTAGTAATTAAAATATTACAACAATGTGTGGGTGTTTGATGACTTGAGTCAACCTTCAGATTTATTTTATGGGTGGAATTCGTACCCATTTTAAGTTATTCAGTGTCATATATTTCATAGTTTTTATTGACTTAAATTATTGTGACATTATTCACAAAGCAATCTACAAACATATAGATATTTTTTCTCCACAAAATTCACATCCTTATTTCACTGCTTCGCTATAACAACCACCAAAGCTATAACAATAAATATTCCAATTTAATATTTTACTTTTTTTGTTAAATTAAGTTATGGAAAAATTATTTCGGTGGGAAATTTATGATATTATGGGTCGAAGTTAAGCTGTAAACGATGAGATATTAAAAAAACTTTTTCACACAGAGAAGAAATAAAATTGAATCAAAACAAAAATATGGATGAGGGAAAATTTAATTATTTTATTTTCAGGATTGTTCATGACTTATTTTGTTGTTGTGATGATAGCCCGCTTCTTATTTGCAACAAAAATAATCCCAAAAATATGTTTTGCTTTATGAGCGAGAAAAGGCTTCATCCGTTATATGGAAATGAAAACGTTCGAACGGATGTCGATATGAACGTTAACAGAAAAAAACTTAATGCATATAAAATGCTGGATAAATCATCTACAATTCCATAAGCATTATTTTTTATTCGAGTGATTCGCAAGTTAAGAACATCCATTTTAGAGGTCGACATCAAAACTTTCACGTTTGTGTTCGATGCAAAAATATTGTTTGAGCAATGAAGCATTTTATTAAACGATAAACCGAAGTTGGTCTCTGTTTGCAATTTTCCTTTTACGCCTTTTAAGTATCTAATGTAGTTCGAGAAGTAGATAAGATCGTGCATGATAGCATTAGTTTCCATAAAACTAAACTAACAAATTGCGATGCCCCACAATTGCTACAACAAGCTTTTCAATTCAATTAAAGTGCATTTACATGCTTTAGTTTCTGGTTCATGTTCACTCTGTGTATACGTCTTGATTAAGAAATGCCAATCTAATTAATGATTCAGAGAGTTTCAGACAATTCGAAGAAAAAAGCCTCTGAAGATGGGCGAAAATTTCTTTCAATTAATTAGTTTAATAATATCCAAGTTAGATGGAAGGTATTGATAATGAAATTGGTAATAAAACCACTAATAATGAGTAGATATTTGATATTTTATTACAACTGACAATCAACTTATAAAAATATCAACGCTTTAATAACAAAAGTCAATTGAAATTAACGTTTACTGTTCAGTACATTTCTCATCATAATTATAGCATCTTATCGTTATCAGCGGCAATTAAGCCATAGGTCATTTAAGAGTCTCAATTTACTCTCGAAATTAAAATTTCCATCTCAGTTGTGTTTGATATTTCGTGCTAGTTGGAAGTTAACCAGACACGAAATGCAACAAATTTTCAAAATTATTTTCTTTTCCACAATTTTCGTGGTGACATTTGCATGTAAAAAACTTCCACCGAAAACTTTGAATTATGGTAGAAAGCAAAGTGGTGACAATGGATATCGATTAGTTGTCGGAAGTAAAGAGAATGAGGGTTATGAGCCAGGAAAGATTTATAACTGTAAGTTCTAATATTGCTTAGCTGTGCAGTGCACTCATGTGTGATGGTCAGTGATTGATAAGAGAATTTCTTGTTCATTGTAGTGTTCCTAGTCGGCTCTCGAAATTATTTACATCTGCAACATTTCACACATTTCATGATAACCGCTGAAGCGTACAACATTGGAACAAGTCGAAGTTCGATTGCCGGGCCGAAGCGTGTGGGAAGATTCCAATTATTCGGCGATTCTCTTACCAAATTTTATGAGATGTGCGTCAACACCGTCTCAGAGGCTGATGATCTTCCAAAAACAGAAGTTCAAGTGAGTTTCAACTTTCAAGTGTTTTTTTATCGCCCTTCTAGTTTACAAAACCGCTTCCTTCTTCTCTTCCATCTGCTTCTCCCATGACAAGGTAAAGAAAGAATGAAGCAAAGAATGAAACTTTGCCTTCTTCACAAGTTTGTAAAGTGATTGACAATTTCAAGCTCAAGATGACTCAATCATCTATCAAAACAAGGATTTTCTTTTAACTCTCGAGCAACTTTGGGTAATTTTGTTCATCTCATTCACTGGGATTTTTCAAGTTGAGACAACTCAGTACTCAAAATTCTTATCGCTTTTTTGTTGTCTCTGTTCAATTTGTTATTGTTTGTCTTACACTTGTATAATATTTTTTACTTTTCAACACCACAAATTCCTTTCTTCGTGAGAGAAATTTCCTGCCTTTGTTTTATGAAAATTCAATTTACAATTTGTTTGTGTTCGAAAGCGTCAAAATAGCTTTCAAATTGACGATAAGTTTTCATCTCTTTTCGCTCATTTCGCAATTTTCAAATTGAAAAAAGAAAATTTGTTTTCAATTTTGTCTTCTTTTGTTTTTATCTGATAGATTTTGTTGTTCTTTCCTTCACCTCCCACACTTCAGAATTCCTTAACAGGAACTTATGCTTCTTATTGAAAAAAATAAAAACGTGACTTATGTTCAATACTGAAATATGGTAAAGATTTTACAGTATCATAGACGTGTATGATGTAAACATGAGAAGCATAAAATAAGTGATGTGAGACATGAATTTTGATAAGAAAGGAAAAAAGATTTAATCCTTGAAACTTGTTTCTTTTCTCGTGATTCTTGAAAATTCGTTAAGATTGTGTTTTGTCATGATTACTTAAGATAAATCTATTTCTAATGTATGTTATGTAATTTGAATGTTATGTTCATGGAATCATTCTAAAATGTTGTCACAATCAAACAAACATGAATAATTATTCTAATACAATACAATACAAAACATTTGAACATTTCACAAAGCTTTAAATACAAATCATTCACGTTAATAAAATTATAATGGGGAAATAAAGCAATTGTGTTGTTGTTGACATAAATTTCACAAATGAAACGTCAACGACCCAAACAAATTCTAATTGTCGTTGACTTGTATCGTTATTCCTTCAAGCTAAGACTTGTCAAGGCTCGGTTACTCATTCCACAAGCAATCATTTGCCTTCCAACCGAGAGGCGATATCTGCGAGTTGAATTTATAAATCAAAACCATTATTTTCTTGTATATGCTTTTATTATTGTTTGTCTCACGAAATGGATGTCATAAAATATAAAAATGAGAAATGTGTGAGGCAAAAGCTTGGAGGAGGGTGAGAGGCAAAACAGTTGTGTGCGATTCCAAACGATAACGTTAAAAACCATGTCCTGACAAATGGCGTAAAAATATAAAGTTGATTGATTACACGAGAAAATTGAATCTTCTTTTTTTTCACCCTCAACTTTTATTATATTTCACAAATATCTTTTTCCTCGCATTTTTCCATGGTTTTCCTTCGATTTGTCGTAGCATGCAATCGAAATGTTTTCCGATTATTCAATTTTTCAGCTCTCACCATTTCTTGTTATTATTTTCCTGTGCCTCGTTATTTTGTGTCATGTTAACAGACTGATAAACAAATTTGTTTCTGTTTTCTGCAACAATGAAGCTAACTTTGCAATATCTACTTTGGAACGGAAAACCAGGCGGAAAAGAATTCGAAATCCTCGTGTACATATATGTTTGGAAACCTTCGAAGAGAAGTTTATGCTTATTTCTTCCACGCTCTGATAAGAAAACGTTGGGAAGATTGGAAAAGTTTTAACATTGTTTTTCGAAGTAGCGGAAAATTGCTACAGATATGTGACATTTTCGCTTATAAATTGTGAGCATAAAACATTCGACGTCGGCCATAAACGGGATTATGCTGCGACATTATGATGTCGAGGAACTTTATATCCCATGTGAGAACGAGTAAAGACCTGAACCGTTGACGCATGAAGTGATTTAAATTTATGCAAAATCACAACATAACATTTTCCTTTTTTCTCTTTCTTACATCTTCATTTTTATCGGGTAGTGTCACCTAAGGTCTCGTAACAGTTTCCATCGGAGATGTTGTAAAACAGCTTAAAGCTATGAATGGTCATGACAAGTAAAGTTTCTTTCGTCTTGAACTTTCAAGCTATTTTTGCTTCAAAGATGAATGAATTCTCGATCGATAAGTAGCCTTTGATATAAAAAAAGATGTCTCGATATTCAAATAACTTGGAAATTTAATACATTTTGAATCTTTTTGGTGAGAGTTCTAACTATGAGTCGCACGTGTAAGTCATAAAATAAAAATTGTTTTGATGGAGTTTTCTTGTTCTTCTAACTTTGCTTTGTTGTACTGACTACCACCTAGTGTCATGTAATTTATATCACTTGACAAGGGACAGAAAAATTAACTTTCTGTTCTTCATACTTATACAACATCACATACTTTTGTACAATGTGTAAGGTTTATTAGCATGTCCATGAGTTTTATAAATCGCTTTGTTGATTCATGCATAACAGACTATGTGGGTCGCCCCAGCTAAAGGTTCAGGTTGTGTACGTTTATCAGCGATGATTTATGAGGGCAAAGATGCATGGTACGCGGAAGCTGGTGGATTGTCGAAGATTATTTGCGAGCAAGAACCTGATAAAACGAAAAAAGCTCTCACTGAAGACGAGTGCTGTGCTTGTGATGAGGCGAAATATAATGTAAGCTTCAAGTCATGTTTGCCACATTCGTTTCATTTACATTCTGAATAATTCAAATTTTTTTTGGATGTGCTTTTGTTTCCACGACTTGAACATCCGACACTTTCCATCTGATAAAAAACATCATCTCAGTTCGTGTTTGAAGGAATCTGGTCGAATGAAACTCATCCCAAAGACTACCCCTTCGCTGTTTGGTTGACACATTTTTCTGATATCGTCGGTGCTTCACATGACGCCAACTTTTCATTTTGGGGTGAGAATCATATTGCAACTGACGGTTTTCGTTCGTTAGCTGAGTGGTGAGTTTTTTTTGAAAGTTATTTCATCGCAACAGTGAAGACGAAAGCTTCTAATTTAAATTCAATTTATATTTTTCACATCGCAGGGGATCGCCAAGGGCACTTGAAGAAGAATTGCGAGCAAAAGGTGGTCGTCTTCGTACATTGATAAAAGCTGGAGGATTATGGTATCCAAATGTTAATGCAAACACATCTTCGCACTTTAAGGTTGATAGAAAACACAACAAGCTGTCTTTAGTTTCAATGTTTGGCCCATCGCCTGACTGGGTTGTGGGCGTAAACGGATTGAACCTTTGCAAAAAAGACTGCTCATGGGAGGTTTCACTTGATATTGATTTATATCCATGGGATTCAGGAACTGACAGTGGTATTTCTTATATGTCGCCAAATGCTGAAACTCAACCACGTGAAAGAATGCATAAAATTACCACAAAGTATCCCGAGGATCCAAGAGCTCCGTTCTACAACATTCATAGTGACAAAATGGTTCCTTTAGCTAAATTATTCATACGACGTGAAAAAGTTGTCACAAGAAATTGCGACGACGAAGTGCTGCAGTCACAAATCCTTGACGTGTCTGAGAATGACGATAACGAGAACAATAATATTCGTAAGTTCAATACATATCTAATAAATGTCACTGAAGCTGATTTTTTCATGATGTTCAATACGATTGACTTCACATTGCCAAGTTTCAGCTTCAACTATAAATAGAAAGTCATTTTTTCTTTCTTTTTTGTTTTGCCAGCGGAGTGTGAGGTCACCGATTTTTCCGCATGGTCGCCTTGTTCAGTGACCTGTGGTAAAGGTTTGCGAGAAAGAACACGAAGTTATCGACGACCACAGAAAGCAACAGAGAAAGGATGTTCACGTCAACTCGTTTTCAAGGAAATGTGCGTCGCAGTAATCGCGGAATGTGACAATGAAGGAGATGATGACAGTTCAGAAAATTTGGCATTATCAGAAGCAACTGTAAATGAACAAGGCGAAGGCTTAGGAATTTGTAAAACCACAAGATGGTCCGACTGGTCCGAATGTTCTGGTATTTGATTTTCTCTTTCTTTTCTTTTCGTCATATTAGAAGTGAGATGATGCTCAAGGTTGAAAATTGAAGAAAAATCTCTTAATTCTTTGTTATTTTCTTCATCTGTTTAGCTTTTTAAATCCTTAAAGCTTTTGCAATTTTATGCTACGATAACAAATCCTTTAAAGCAAGCAAATATTTTCCTTGCATAATTTTCTATTTTTTCATTGAATATTTTATTTTGAGCCCTGGTTATAAATGTATGCACATCTTCAGAGACAAAAACGTGGAAGGATAAAAATACTCAATGATGGCAAAAATCACAACACAAACACAAATAGAAAAAAAATCCCAAATTAATTATATTTTTTATGTTCTTTTTCTCTCCCTTTTGTTTTGTTTTATATTATTCAGCAACTTGTGGTGTTGGAATTACGATGCGCACTCGAACCTTTTTGGATCGCGTTGGACGAAAGAAATGTCCACATATAACAGTTGGTAAGCCTGACTTTGATTTTTATCCATCACATTATGGGCGAGGGTGACGTCTCATGAAACCCTTTTTTTAATGCTTATGCTTTGCTTTTATATTCTTTTGTCGTCCCTAAAATCAATCATCCTCTAATTCATCCAATTTACGTGCATATACAGTGGAGAAGCAGAAATGTATGCAGCCTGAATGTTCCATTGCGGATTTAGAGATTCCTGACCCTAATTGCCCAATGACCCCTTGGAGTGATTGGTCTCCATGCTCAGTAACATGTGGTAAAGGCGTTCAAATTCGAACCCGTTTATTGCTTGTTGAACCGAGTAAGGAGGCAGCTTGTAAAGTCAAGAAGGAATTGAATCAACAGCGTCAATGTTCAACGAGGCAAGATTGTGTTTTTGACTATGAAACAGCGCGACAAATCTGCTCCCTTGAGCCTGATGTTGGCTCATGTCGAGGAGCTTATCGAAGATTCTACTACGATCCCTTGCGTCAATCATGTCAAGAATTTGAATACGGTGGATGTCGAGGAAATCAAAACAATTTCTTGACTAACGATGTTTGCATGAGTTCATGCTCTCTTGTTAGAGCCACAGTCCCTGCTAGTCGAGGAGCGTTGAGGAATCCACAGCAGCCAATAACGACAGCGCCTCGAGAACAATCCCAAATCGATAACCGTCGTTTCACAACAGCCCACACGCAAAACTTACCTGTTGATTGCGTCTTATCAGAATGGAGCGAATGGTCCGCATGTTCGGTAGCTTGCGGTAAGAAAATTAAACCCATCTTAATTTCATTTTCTTCTTCGTTCCCTAAAGTTACAATAAATACGCTTAATATTTCTGGGAGTTAATTTTAATCTCTTCTTCTTCTTTATACGATGGCAGGTATAGGATTTTCGGAAAAGACACGTCGAACTCTGACGGGTAAGAATGAATCTAATCCTGACCTTCGTCTTGTTATTCAATAAAATGATTTAATTAATTTATAGAACCCAAAAACGGTGGTCTGGAATGTGCAAAGCTGGTGAAACGTAGACGATGTAATGGAACTTCGTGCACATAAATTGTGAAAAGCTTTCAAGCAATTTTCATCAAAGAAAAGAAGACGACGAAGAATACAATCCATTAAAGTTGATAAATTTTACCATTAAATAAGAAAAAGCATTTACAAATTTATAAAATATACGAAAAGACTTCAATGTGACATATTTTGTGTAGTTTCTCAGAAAAGATCGATAAATAAACGCAAATAACGATTCGAAGACAAGCACAACGAGTGACTAAATAATCCAAAAATAGAATTTTATCAAATATTCACGCTGTAATATCTAAAATGTTCTCACGTGCCTAAATTTTACATTATTCTGGTTTCCATTAATGTATAACGAAGCCTTTTAAAGCCTTTTCTGATATCAACAGTAATTTTCTGATTATAATACTCTTTGAGGAAAATTTACATGATAATCTCATCTTCTTCTAATTTATTCACATGCACTGAGATTTTCGCATGAAGAGAAAATTTAGGGGAAAAGAGATTAAGATAAATAAATATGTTGTGATGGATGATTTGAAGTAGATGAATCTTTAAATATATTTTCGCTTACCAAGCTTACATCTTCCTTAATCTCTTTCTCATTAATCGTATTTCATACGAAATTTTAAAATCCTCTTAATTTCTGCTTATGTTGAATAAAAATATTTTTAATTCCTGCTTTATTAAAGAGTCTTTAATAAAGACTCTCATATTTCTTCAAGGTTTGTATTTTTCATATATTAAATCACAACTTTGAAGCATAAATAATTACAACGTTTATTGAGAAACAATTTCATTCATTTTGAAGAATGTTATTGCAACAAAATCGTAAATTATATGCAATCTTAATTAAAATTCGCACATTTATTTTTATTTTGCGCGAAAAATAAAAAAGAGAACAATGAACATTTACAACAGGAGAAAGAAATGAAAATTTATGCAATTCCACATTGCAATATAATTTTCTTAATTTAATTCTCACCCTCGTGTTGAAATGTTTTACTTCATCAGAAACGAAATTTGTGAAAATGTTTCATGAGTTTTCCTCTTTACTGCTACTAAAATAGATTGTCTTTGGCAGCAAGTCTAGCAGGCAAACTTCCGATGTTTTTTCGAGAAAAAACAGCAAGAAAAGAGAATGATGAAAAATCTCATCTGCTCATCTCGTTTTGTTTTACGAGCGTGAACAAAAACATTTTTTGCAATTCATTCGAGTGCTGTGAATTTTTATGCCTATGATCTTGATCTAAAACGTAAGCTGCTATCTCATGGAGAAAAAAATTTAATAAAATCTGCTGTTCAACTCAATTGATCAATGAATTCTTAATAAAAAGAAAACTCCCGTCTTCTTCATTTATGTGACAGATTTTGATTTGTTCCAATACATCTATGAAAATATTTAATAAGCTCAATTAGATTCAGAAAAAAAAAGAATTTTTTTCGTCTTTTTAAAAGACAATCGATAAATTTATGATTGAAACGAAATGAATAAGAACTCGACTTTAATAGTTATGTAAAGTCTAAACTGAGTCACTTTATCAAGATTTTCTAACATTTCTGTTAATCATTTACATGTGATAAGATGAAGTTAATGAAAATTGTGTGAAGATGCTTCTTGAATTTTCCGAGTAACAAAAGCAACGATTATGTCTTGTAGCAGAAGTTACAATAAGTATGAGTACGAGTAAAAACAACAACATCAAAATTGTAAGTTCTTTCATCATGAATATGATGATAATGTGAGAAAACAAGAGCATTGGGCAATGAGAAAAGTCATAAATTTTCGGCTTTTTCTTCTTCACATTTGTTGTGTGTTTTCTCCGCGTGTTTTTCTCGCAATGCCATTCGTTTATTGCTTAATGTTTCATCTGCTTCTCTTCACACTCTCGACTGCATGATGTTGTTGCGGTGAAAAATATTTTTCAATTTCTCTTCGTAAATTTCAGTCTTCGAAACGGTATCAAATATGCAACAAGAAGAATTTATGACATCTGAGACATGTTCTAGTTTTCGTTTTGATTGATGAGTGGAAAATTGAAATGTGCTTTTATTTAGACGGAAATTTCCTGATGTTTAAGGTCGTTCATAAAATTGATGAATTTTAAATTGCTTGATAGTGAGAAATAAAAGCACGAAAGTGTGAATGAAGAATCATTCAAACTTTTTGTTGTTAAGCTTTAAATTGTGCAGACATGAAGATAATAGCTTGCAAATAATTGAGGAAATTTCCATGCAGAAAATTCAAGAGAATTATTTTGAAAGCTGTTTATCAAAGTGAAGCGTACATAATTAATTAAAGTTCGTGAATATGATTGCAGCTCTTTTCGAATAATTTTAATTTTAATTTTCGAATCAATCTTAATTTCCAACTCCATTCAACAGAGAAATGAAACCTTTTTAAAATTCATTTAGTTAAAATGAACAAAAAATGCTTATAGATATTTAAATAGCAAAAAAAATTATAATGAAAAAATTGTGAAGTTTTTGTTAACAAAACAGAAAAGAGTCAAAGTGAAGTTTTTATTCATTTAAAGTTTCTTCTGCTTTAAGCCTTTGTTTCTGACTCTTACAGCTGAATCAGGTAGAGGAAAAAAGGAAACCGAAGGAACTTTTTTAAAACAGAAAGCCAAAGCACAAGGTAAACAATTTTTTACTCTGTTGGTTTTTTAAAGTATTTTTAACTTGGTTTATTATACGTTTCCTCTTAGTATATTCTTCATGGATAAATATACAGGCGAAGATAAAATGAAATTAAATATAGAGTGAGAACATTGAGTACAAGAAAGTTCAGGATTTCCTCGTTGTCACGTCGATCTTTCATGAAGCACAACGACGCCCGCATTTTATTTAAACTTTAACAGTTGAGTTTCGAACTCATCCTTCAGCAGTTAGGGTTTTACAGTTTAAACGAGCTTTTTTCAGAAAAGCGTCTGACGTGACAACGATAAATTACGTTCGAGTGGGAGCTTCGTTGAAACTTTTATTGATTGCTCAAATAATTCTTCGAAACCTTTTTTTACTATCACGAGTGAAAACCAAAATTGCTTCAAATAAATGATTCGTGAATAATAACGACCGTTTTTCTTCACTTCAATTGCTTTATTTGTGGAAAGTATTAAGCAGATATCATAGCAGCATGACAGCATACAATTTCATACTTCAACCCTCAAAATTTCATTCGCTTCTAGTTTATGAAGGTTTTGCTGATAACAATGTCAACATACGCGTTTTATTGCTTAATAAAGGGATTATTTCACCGGTCAATTGACATAGCATAGCACTAGCAATGATAGGGGCTGCCGTTGCTGAGATTGTTGAGAATACGGCAAAAAAAAGGGCAGCAAATAAAGTCATGAACACATTTCTATAAATGTCTTCACGTAATTTTACGAAGCTTTGAATTTGTAAAATGAAAAATAATTTTAAAAGGAGCATTTGGCATGAGAATTGTGTTTCAAGCTTTTAAAGTGAACATCAAAATCGGACATATTTCACTCTATTTTCCCAAGTAATCACCCACATATTAATTTTCAAGCCATGTGAAAAAGGTATCATCCTCAAAGGCTATTTCAAGTCAGGGGAAAACTTTTCATGATGGTGTTCGTCTTTTTTTCTGTATGCGGACGGTTTAAAATTTGTAGCTATTCTTAGTGTTTGAATAGAAAATGAAATAAACAAGACCGAAATGAGAGGATTTCTAGTCATTGAATGTTCTACACTTTTTAAATGTTAAAGTTTCAGTCTGCTAAGGAAACGTGTCTATGTGTACAAAATGAGATGAATCGGGATAAAAAGAATACAAACGAACGAGAATTGCGAGTCATGCTGAAAGTTTTAACTTTATCGCCCACTTAAAACGTCTGCAGACAATTCAACGATCCGCAAACTACGTTGTTAAATCACAGTAAAAGTTTGTTAAAAAAAGCTGTGTATGTAAGGTATGTTTGTGATAGAAAAGTTTTAATGAAAAGCTAGAACAAATTAATTACACAGCCTACAAATTATAAGCTGTGGAACATTCAATGGAATTTTTATTCTTCTTGTTGGTTTTTATTTACAAGAAACAAATAATTTCACTATAAATGTCCTACGCAATGTCATTAAAAGAATGAGTTAGTAGACTAGTAGAAAATTATAAATCATTTCCGCTTGATTGGACACTTTTTGTGAGTTTGTGTGGGCACGCCAGGCGCTTTTATGCCTGAGTTATGGGGACAAATTGACTTGCCTTGACTGTTGCCTTTGAATAATCGATAAAAATAACAAATCTTGCTTCCACAATATGTATCCCAACTTGTCTTTATTAAATATTGAATATATAATTTACAATCAAATCAATATGAGTAGAAATTTATGATAATAGCAAACCAAAGGCGAAGTTTTTTTGTGCTTGTAATGAATTTTTAAATGGAAAGTCCAAAATCTAATTATGTCAGGAAATATTTTTCTTATTCTTTAGTTTTGTTGAGTGTCTGAATTGAGAACAAAATAATAAAATTTCTAATGGAGATGCAGTGAAGATGTGAATCTGAAATTTATTTTTATAGCAAAACTTTTCTTTTTCCTTGAGAGTCTTCTTGGATACTTTCATTAAAGTTTCCTTTTTGTGGGAGTGGCAATAAAATTTGAATATTTCAAAAGCAAGTAAAGTACCAAAAAAATGCTTTAATTCACGAAATGTGAAACGAAGTATTCGTGACATTAAAAACTCTTGTGAAGCATAAACATTCTTAAATTGAGTCATCTTGGAGCTCTTATTTACTATTCTTTAGAACAAACTTGAACTTTTCCTTTCAAGAATGAAAACTGAAAATTTATGACATACATACTTATAAATAAAAGTTTCTCAATTCTGATCTGCTCCTTTTCTATCGTTAAGGGTGGGTAACGTTTTACTACACAATGACTCAAATTTACTTTCTTTTTCTATGAATGGAAACGAGTGACAAACTTTGAAATTTATTCGCTCATGTTTTAACGTTCGTTTGTCTGAAAGTAAACAACATTCAAAAGTTTCATCATACCCAAGAAAGATTTCAGATTTACATAAATTACCATCATTTCATAGCGTATAACGAAAAGTGAACAGCATAACATATTAAGTTTATCAAATATTGTTTTTCGAGCTTTATGGTTATGATACGATGTGTAGACAAGAATGTTCATAAAGAAATCTTTTGTTTTTATCATTTCCAACATAATCCTTCGATCTTCTCGTCACTCCCCTACACATGTCATAGTAATTTGTTTTTATTATCCATACGTTTCATTCTTCGTCCC